TAATCGCGAAAAAAAGTGAAAGGATGCGCAGTCTATTTTTCAGCGACGTTTTCAAGAAGGATCGTGAGGTCCCTATCAGGCCCCATCCACCAGCATCCGTTTATGTATGAAATAGGAGACTTAATTTCTTCTCCGTTTTAAAAAAAAAATCAGCGTCCTCTCACGTTACGTTTTTGGATCGTTTTTACCTGTCCACATAAAAAAGCAATAGTCACTGAACACGGTATCATTTTCCTAAGGGAGCATGCGTATTTACTGATATCCAACACCGCGACTTAACCTTTTTCAAAAACCTCTGTTTTCATTCATCCATACGAGTGCAGCAAAACGGCGTTTTCAAAAGTGTCCACCCGTGTAGAGCGTTTTTGAAAAGATGTATTTTCGGAGGACATATACTATTAAAAGATAATCTAGTTCGAACGCACTCTTTAATCTATGATTACTATTTGTTATATCTTTAAGAGCTTGCCCGGCTCTTATTTGGAATTTCGGCTAAAAGGGGGTCGTTTATTCGAAGGAGTGCGCATAATCAACAATGACATTAATACACATGAATGCTCTAAAAATAAAGATATTATCTAAAAAAAACAAGCAAAACAAAAACAAAAACAGCGTCTCGATGTGAGTTTTAATAAGGCAACATAAAATTGTGCCATGATCATTGCATAGTAACGTTGTTCTAAGACGTTTCGATCCGTTAGTGATTACGTCAGGACTCGGCATTATACTGATATGCCTTAGAATTCCAAAGAATTATCCTATTCGAATATAAGTCCCACCCCAGAATTGGAAACAAAAAACATTTCCTTTAATAAGCCCTCTGCATACAAGCCCCCAGGGCGACGGGGTACTAGTCTTCTTCTTTCTAGCAATAGGCTAAAACTGTCCTCGTGACCTTGACACAATTTTTAAAATGAAACTACTATGAGATGAAATTGCATGTCAAAAGCGCTTCGTTTTCCAGTTTTATTATATTCCTACCCAGTAACATTTCATCCCAAAATATCCCGAAAACGCTGTCATGGCTGAGCTCTCCCGCGCTCGAAGCACACGAAGCGGACACCATGGGTAAGAAAATTTGGTAACCATTTTGGTAGTCACGTGACGGTACGCCCGCCCGACCGTCCGTCCGTCCGTACCACAGCAATACCGATGTAAAATAAGTCAATCAATATACCGGTATGGCAACTTGAGGTTATTTTGGCGGGAAATCGCATAGCCACCCGCGTCTTGGGAAGCAGAGACAACTAAAGAGTAAATCGGAAAAAGCGGGGAAAAAAGCGGAAATTGTTTCTGTATCTGTGTTGTCTAAAGTATTAAGCTCAGATTAATTGTCATGTCCACAAATTTGGAATAAGAGAAAGAGAGAAAGACAAAAAGAGAAAGTAGACGACAGGCCAGCGAAGCTCAACGAGAAAAAGAGCGACAGACAGCTAGATAGAGCGAGACATAAAAGACAAAGGGGACCTTTTTTTGTTAGAAGAACAACATGGAAATTTTGTAGCGGCTACCAAGGTGAAAATGAGCGGCAGTGAAAAAGAAAATTAACAAGAACACGTACGACATTTCCTCCACAAAACGAGTAACCAGGAAGGTTCTGGAAGTTTCACGTTGTAGTCGTGCAAGACAACGGCAAAGAAATGTACGAAAAGTGTGCTGACGTGCAACTTTGCTCTTTTGCTAATTAGACCTATTGTTGTTTTTTCACCGTTCTCGTTTCCTTCGCCGCTTAGCATAACACGGTTATATATTTTGTTTGAGCAAACTATAAATATTATCGAGAGCTTCGCTTTTAGTCCTTGCTTAAGCTATATATTGGATTTTGTTAAGACTTCTCGAACATTGGGGTAGGTATTGGGGGAACAAGCTTCCGTGACCGATTGTGGAAAAAAAAAACTCCCAGCGCAGAGAAATACGGCTGTAAAATAGATAATGACGTCATTTCGTTGGTACGACGACTCCGATTTCAACATAACATTGCTTATAGCCGTGGTAATCATTCTCCCGTATATTTGTAAATGGCGACGTAGCTAATGCTCAAACTTGGGAGGTATTGTATTGGCCATAAAAGGAATCCTGCAATCGAGCCACCTTAATCGATTGTTCATTTCTTTAGATAAGCGCGCGAAGTATTGTTGGTTAATTCATTATTCTTTCAAAATAGGATCAGTGATCCGAGTTGATCCGAGTGATCTTGGATCACTGATCCTGTTCTGGATCATCCAACGGAACGCACCCTAGCTGCCTTTCGCTTCCAGCGTCTGTGAGCCTGTCAAGCAGGTTCCCTCTTGAAAATTGACCTGTTATAAAATTCATACTTGGTTAAGAGGCTTGCGGAATAAAAGAAGACAAATCTCCTTGATGTTCAGAGAGAATGTAAGTTTCTTCTGTTCTATTCTCCCATGCTTCGGAGCCAATTGTGAATCGAAATTAGTATGTATGTAGAATGGCCCTACTCTGCTAACTCTACTTTCATTAATCATCAAAATTCATCAACTGTGACCAAATGGAGCCTCTTGAGATGTAATTTTACCTTGGTATTGTTTCGCTATTCCACATATCGTGATGCGAACGATATGCTGCTGCATTCGATATCTGCTGCGCTTTCCTCTTCATGTACAGAGAACCAGCAAAGTGAAAAAACTAGCCTAGCCGAAAGTTAAACCCAATTTCGAATCTTGTCGTCACTCAGCTGAAGTAAGTGACGAAGTCATCTCCAACTTAAACATGACTAATTGCTTTGCTTGCTTTGTCTGAAATCCATAGAGTGTGAAAGACAATCGAGCAATTAGCCAGACAGAGTGCGCCCATAACTTAATGGTTGTTTATCATTAACATGGGCAACCGGTCGGTTCACGGTTTGGGCAATTGGCAAAAAAGATATCGTTGCACTGAAATCCAAAAAACGGCCACGACAGCCTAAGACTGGTATCAGAGATGGGTTTCAAGAAATGTAACACGAACTTCCGTTTAGAACTTTCCGTCCGAAAAACAAAGCCTGTGAACAAGCTCTCTGTTTGGGGAAAGGGTGAAAAAAAAATTCACCCTTTCCCCAAACAGAAGGCCTGTTCACAGGCTAGAAAAACGGGACCACCTTTTCACAATTTCCGTTGCTCACGGAAACTCTTCGCTGTAACGACAGGAAAAGACTGTTCCATTTATTTTTCAGCCAAACTTTCCGGAAACTTTTTGTAAATGGTAAGCAACTAGTTCCTCGTGTGTACAGGTAGCTCGATGATTTTGCACCAATTGGATAATTTCGGGTTTTATGCGTTATATGTTTTTTTCCCATAGACGTAACATGTGCAGAGCATAAAAACACTTGGCTCCCTTGCGTTCTTCCTTTCACTCATGCCAAAAATTATTCATAATTCATAAACGGTCAAGGCTATGATACACAAATCGTGCAACAAACTGAATTGTAAAGCGTTTTGTTCAGTCTGACAAATCGGAGAGGTTTTAATCTCTTTGACAGCACTTCTAACAATAGTTAACCATGGTAAAGCTAGCCAGACTTTGAAAGACTGACGTACCAAGCCTGCAAACAAATTGACAACCAGCAAACAACGTCAGCTAACGGCTCGTTAAGTCCCAGTCATCCGCCAACTGACTCGACAAAAACAAAGCTATTTAAAGAATGACATAGGTCACGCCCATGAAATACGGACCAATATTCACCTCCGCATGTACTTTTTTAAAACACGCACATTTCTTGTATGATAAAAACCGTCCACACGTCCAGAAAACAGAAAACAGGCGCTGGAAAACTGAAGTCTAAACCTATTCAACCTTGGGTGACACACCATTTCAATTCCAGATGATTGAGCAGTCTTGTATAAAACGCTCTTTTTTAATACTCCTGTTCCGGTTTTCTGCGCATCAATCGAGCTTGTCCCATGCGGCAAACAGATTTTTCAGAAAGACAATTACAGATTTATCGCCCACTAAATAACCCTTGTAACTGTGAATTACGCTCTACGCGGCTTGCCGCAGCAGCGATTCTCATTTCCCAACTAGTTCCATGACAAAGAAATCGACAGATTTTCGAATCATTCCCTGTTGGAGAGCACGTGCGGCACGACCCAAGGGCAATACTGCTCGGTGATTGGCTACGGGCCAGATGCACTGCACAATAGAGCACGAGAAGCGGAGTGTGTGGGAAGGTGCAAAATACGTTTTTCCCACGGGTTTTAACGCCACGAGGCCACTCAAACCGTCAATATTTACAAACTCATTCAATTTCTTTTGTTTCGCTGTCTGTTAAAAAACATGAGTACTAAAGTGTTGTTCATCGTTTGGTCGTTTTAATCCGAGATATTTTCTTCTCGGTTGCAACAAAACTCATCAAAAGACCTTTAAACAGGTACTTATAAATTTTATATCATGGCCAACTTAATCAGCAAAATAATAAGCTATTGATATTAAGTAACGTAATCAATATTGCGTGCTGTGTACCTCGATAATTGACCCGCAATCTTCTGTAACCCGACTCAGCTTGAGGTTTCGGACAAAATGGTATTTCAAAAGTATACACACTTCTACGGACTCTGTTCCAAAGCGTGAAGCGTGGAAATAAACGACCCCCTTTCGTGCGCAGAGAAAACACTACAACTATTTCTATTGCAACTCAAGGTTTATTATTTTTTTCCATCCCAAAATACTTTGTTATCGTTATAACTGCACAGTTACCTAATGAAGTCCAGAGAAAAGTTATAAAAATAATACGATTACATTGGAGTTTCATAGTCTATAGCAACCGCAAAAACCGATATGAAACCCCCTAAGGGGTAGTTTGCCAATCTATGATACCGGTGTTATTTATAATGTGAATGCGAAGGAAAGAAAATGTTATACATGTTTTCAATATTATACAAAAATGTATTTACAGTGTTGCAAGTATTGCTAATTACATCTTAAAAATATATTAAACTTTTCTATAGCTCTGTCTGTTCAACTTGAACTTGTTGAATTATCTGTCTAAAAATCAATTACAATTCTAGAAAAAACAGGGTTTCGACTCAACCTCTTGTTGGTGGACTTTAAAAAGACTAACGCAGCATTATCGCCACTTCGAATTACTTCTTAAATGAAAGAATACCTTGTCTAAAACGTAAAAGTTCGCTTTTTACTGCAAAACTCAAGGCACCTTTTGAAAAGAAGGCGTTTACCGTAACTAAACTATGAATATTACTCCCCGCTTCCCCTCTACCCTCCCCTGCGGAATTTACCGCGTATAACTAACCCTGCAAATAGAATGAGCCTTTTGTGTTTCTTTTGAATAAATAAAAACCCGCTAATACTAACGTAAGTATACAATACGCATAAGAGGTAGGTAGGTAGGCAAAACACAATACCTGTGACCGTAACACAATTTTAAGTAACACGGGGTAAGTAATGGTTGATCAGCACAGTTTAACAATTTACTATACTATAAACATACCGTATAAAAGTACAAAACGAGTACCGGAAATGTGCTTAGTAGATAATACTTATCCAATCAAACGCGAGGATAAACTCCAGGAAACCAACTCTTTGCGTCTTACACAAGGTTTCCTGGACGTTTTCCCTGGCTTCTGATTGGCTACGGAATCGTTATAATGCATGCATATTGTGATTCGCGTAGGACGCTAGTGTATTTTTTAAATATAGCCATATACAGCCCTATGACGCACGGATCAAACAAATTGTGTAGTCGGTATTTTCAGAACGGTATGGATAATTCACATGTCCCGTCACAGAGGAACATTGAATATTGTCCCATTCAGGTATTTCATTTGTTCGGATTGTACCAGGAGGCTATTTAACCCGGAGCGCGCAACTCAGCTTATGCAACAGCGTTTTTACAGACTAATTTATTTTAAGCATCATTTTGAAGTACCTTCTCCCGCAAAATGGAAGCTCCGTCGCATATGTGTGCGCATCCACAGTATGATAATGAAAAAAAGTAAACGTAGATATTAAAACATCACGTATACCATTTTCTAGTCTCTAGCTTTTGTAGCCTAAATTTAAGACTTTTTTGATAGCCAAAAGTAGGAAAATCGACCTAACAATTAAAAGTGATCTGTGAGAACGCCGTAGCTCGTTCAGGGTTATTGGATCCTTACTATACCACCTACTTAATCTGTCGCCAGCAACAAAATTCGTGACGGCAAAATAAATAAAAACGCTTTTACGAAGTTAAGGCTCATCCAAATAAAATAATAACAGGACTGCGCATGGCCCAGCGATGATCGATGGAGGATAAACGTACAGCTCACATGACTCTCAATGGGGAAGGCGAGAGTCCAGTCTCCATGACAACATGCAAACTGCACACGGCGATTGACTAGCAAGATGAGGATGAAGATGAGGACGACCACTGCCCCGGCGAGTCCGGGGACGGGGTGGGGAAAGACACGATCTTTTGCGGCGAGACGCATTCGTAGCGGTTATCAAAGGCGGTAATCGGTATGTGTCCAAGAACGAGTTGGTTTTGTAATTGCAATGGCTGCTGCATCATATAGTCGTTATTGTGAAAGTCTTTTCTTAATGGCATGACGCCGCCTCCACTTGACGGATACATATTGGAGTTCGTTATGGCCTGGTACGAGGCCAGCAGGGAAGGCGTCGCAATCGAGGCCTTTTGCGCGGAGTGACAAGTTCTTCCATTGAATACAATGGGCCGAGAATCGTGGTGTTGAAGACCTCCACAATGCAAGTCCGGTGTGCTATGCACAGAATAAAGTCTTTGACCTTCCAGAGGGTCCGACCGCCTGACAGTAGGCGCATTTGGTATGTACATACAGTCAGACGTTGTGGGTACAATGTGGTCATTCAGACCCAAATGTCCAATAGTTGTTGTGGGTGAAAAATCAATAGGCATATCTGTTGGGGGACTAAGAGTATCAAAATCGAGCTCATCCAAGCAGTCGATCCCAACGTCTTCCAAACCAGCCAGATCTTCCGGGGAGAGAATTTCTAAAGGTGACGGCGGTTGTTGCTCCAGAGAGTCCGGAGGCTGCAACGGCGACAACGTCGTGGAATCTGCGGGGGAAATACCCGCACTCCCGAGGGGAGAAAGTCCGTTTGCGATTTGCATGCAGTTAGGTGAAAACGTCTGCCCGGTGGCGCACGAAGATACAGCTGTTACATTATTAGCTGTTGGCGATAACGTTGCAGTTGGTGAAAGCGACGGTACCGTGCTTATCACCGGGTATTGTTCCTCGTCAGGCCGTGCTTTCTTCCGCTTCCGTTTCGTGTTGTTATTATTACTACTTCCGGTGACAGGTCTTGGTCTGTTCACAGCGTTTGTTTTGGGACGAGCCGCCGAGAAATGCTGCATTATCGCGGGCCCGCCGCCACCGTGAATTTCCACGGTAGGCGGAGAGGTGGCCGGAGGAGATGCCATGTTAGCTAGCGGGGATTTTTGCCCCTCGGGGGGTGACGTAGGAGCGGGAACAGCTTTAGGTGAGTTACAACCCAGCGACCAGTCCGTAAGCAACTCCACAATGTCATGATGGTGTCTCAGTTTGGCGATATCTTCCGGTGTCATGTCCATGCTATCGGCGAGTTTGCGGTTTGCATAGTTTACAAGCAGATAACGCACTGTTTGAATGCTTCCTTCTCTACAACCCAGGAATAACGGCGTTTGACCCTAATAACGAACACGGAAATTAAAATCAGTCTTTGTTGTTAACACTTTGCATACTGACATTACATTTAGCCTGCGCATCAAGCGTTTCCGCGCGAATTCGTCATGGAAGTGCTTTTTCTGAGTAAATCATTCCCCAGGTTGTACTCAAATTTGTTTCTCGAAGAACTTGAAAGCGACATTTTGTTCTATAAAGCACATATTCAATCTCTGAGTTACCTTTTCGTCCTGAGCATCTTTCTTGGAACCATTTCTTAGCAGCTCTTTCGTCACCTCCAAGCTATTGACCGAGGCTGCCCAATGTAGTGCAGTTTTACCTGTCAACAGCAACGGAATGAGCATTTGAGTTTGCTTAATAAAGGAGTATGGATTTGAATGAACCCTTCCACGGTTTTCTTCAAGTTTTGATCAAGGCTAACAAGTGATTATCCATCGAAACTACCGGAAATACCGCCCTAAAATCAGTTACATTACCAGGTTTAGGGTTGATACGTCCAAAGAGAGCGAAGATATATTGCTCCACAAAGACGCATAATTTTTGAGATTTTTGTATGGTGGGAGTCACGAACTTGCCCCCAGCACACAATCGTCTGTTAGTGTAAAATTCTGAGACTTTGCGGATAGTTATACATCCGTTAGTTTGCCATAAATCACTCTTAATCTTGGCAGCTTAACTGATTTTATGGCGTTCTTTCCAGCAGTGTTAACTGATCTTCGCTAACAATGTCATAGAAATTACTCAAAAGTTAAAAAAACCTGTGAAAGGGTATATTACCACGAACGTCAAAGAAACAGTTTAAAGTTGGGTCGACAAAGAGAGAAATATATTCATCCAAGCTTACCTTGATTATCGGCACTGTTTACTTTGACTCCCGCCTTGATAAGATGACGCACTAAGTCCGGTAGATCGTGCCGCGCTGCAAGTATCAATGGTGTTGTTCCGTCGTCCATTCTGGCCTCTAAGTCAGTCGCACGGTTCATGAGCAATCTCTGAATGTAGAGGATTGAAAAACTGATTTAGCTCCGATGTGAATTTAAATTGCATGTATTCGGTTGGCGTCACAGGGCGCCAAAGGTCTTACAGGTTGTACTGGACATGTTACTCGGGCGCATGTTCAAAAAACTGCGGTGTGTGCACGCCTCAAAGATTAGGTTGTGCGTGTCACGAAAAGGGATCATTCCCCCACACAATAACTCTCGAGATTCTGTTTGTCAGTTTGTTGATGAACACCCATCATGTAGCCAGTCAAATGAACACACACAATGTAGCCTGCGTAGCAAGAGCCAAAACAAAAAAGGGAAGGGGGGGGGGGGGGGGGGGGGGAGGGGCCGAGAAAATCTTGAAGGTAAGTTTTTGCCCTTGCCGCCCCTCCCCCCCCCCCCTCTATTTTTGCCCACACAACTACCACCCCCATACAAAAGACAAAAAAAAAAAACAAAAAAGAGGCGGGGGGGGCAAAAAACAAAAAAAAAAAGGGGGGGGGGGGGGGGGGGGGGGAGGAAGCGCGCAAGGGAAAAGTTAGAGTTAGTTTTGTTCCTCTCCCGGCCTCCCCCCTCCCGCTTCCTTTTCTGCGCCAACCAGGCAGCCTAAGCAGCTTGCTAATGTACTGCTGAGTTGATTGCCGGTGTTTTGCATTTTCATGAATTCTGACGCGAAGTACTGCACTGCTGGGGGACACAGGGTTCAATCTTTTACGATAAATGCACTGCATGGAATATTCTCCTTGTTCATAGATTATTGATAAGACAACAAAGGGATCACAGAAATCGGACAACTTTTTACTGCCCCAGATTCGCAAAACTGTAAAATATCACTGTTATTTACCTGGAATACACCCTGAGCATCAGCGCCAATGGCAAGATGCAGAGGCGTACGGTTGAGACGGTCCCTCGCATTAGCATCAGCACCCGAGTCAAGTAGACGCTTAGCTACATCAGCTCTAGAGTGCCTTGCAGCAAGATGCAATGGCGTCTCTTCCAGATCAGTCTTTGAATTGTAGCTCGCTCCAAGAGAAAGCAAGTCCGAAACCATAGCGCCTCCGCTATCGTCACTGTCTTTATCATCATCCAGGCTACTTCCGTCACCATACATTCCACGGCATGCGGCCAAATGCAGTGCGGTCATTCCACCAGGGCCTCTGGCATCAACATCAATGGCCGTAGCTCCCCTCTCTCCGTTGCCTTGCTGAGGAGGGGTTAGAGCCAGGGAGCAGTTTCTAACGGTCACGTCTGCGGCCTGGTGGTGCAGGGAGGTCCACTTACGCGAATCTTCTCCGTTGTGTTTATCGTCCAGTTTGACTCGCTTAGCTTCCCTGGGAGGCGTCAGGTCTGAACGGCTGCTTTCGCCGCTAGCAGAAGTACCTTCTTCAATTTCAGACGAGCTCTTCCTCATTTGACTGAAAAACAAATCAGTTAAGAGGGCGAATTTACAAAGTATACCGTGACATGCAAATGAATTCACTACATAGGAGATGAAAATTCAGCACAGTTCACTTAACAACGACAACAATAATATTTATTTCCCTTATTTCCTTCGACGGAAATAAAACCACTTACTTCAATGAGACTTCTTGCCCGACTGGTTCACGTCTTGTAGAGGGCTGCCTCCGAGGTCCGCGTCCGACGAATCCTTCTGGAACCCACAGTTTGGCATATACCCTTTTGGCGCCGGCTAATACTCCAACAACGAACAGAGGAATGCCCACACAGAGAATAGCAATATACAATGGCGACAAACCAGTGGAAGGGGACGGGGTTGGTGGGTTCACCGTGGGTTCCTCAACTTAAGACACAAGAAGATAGCAATTATTACAATGTCAGTCAAACTAAAGTCGACAGTTGTGAACTTGAAAGTCGAGTCTTCGTTCTTCCCCAGTACCACATCAAAGAGTCACTTGGCACTTTGCCATAGTACGATCACAACGTTTCTTGGAAACGCCAAGATGGTTTTCACTTCTAGAAAAGGATGCGTTTTTCGCAAGGCAGAAAAAATAACCAGAGTGACAGCGAAATTGTGTCGCCTTTGTATTATACTTGCGTGAGCCCAGGAAAATTAATAGTCAAAAACTCGAATGCGACCGATTTTCTAACAGGAAGGCTAAGTGTTCTAACAAAATGCCAGTCTCTGTGTTTATTTTGCTATAATTTGGAATACTTACCTCGTACTTGATGTAAATTGTAGGGTAAATCCAGTTTATTGGAAGACTGCAGTGCACCGAGATATTTTGCACCCTACAAATAAAGCCACAAAATTTAACCTTTAGAAGAGACCCATATGTAATTTGTCATCATAAAAAAGACTTTTCAAATAGTCAAAAATATAGCTCGTGGAAATAGAGAAAATAGAGAAAGAAAATTCTCCTCAATGCCATATAGGGGACAGAGCTGACAATATAGATTTCGGCTTTCCGAGTCAATGCACGTAGAAAAGGCATTTTACTCCTACTGGAGACTGGACTGGACACGAGCCACGCAAAGGTCTAGTCGTTTGCCAGGCAATGGCAGTACCTTCATTTCTCGGTTATTCACTAAGACCCCGAGTATTGGTCCGGCCCAGAGAATCGAACCCGCGACCTGCCACTCTACAGTCAAGCGCTCTACCAACTGATTTAATCCTGGAACGGTTAAAAAGGCTGCAAATTTAACGAACAAGACAAAAGCGTTGTCCGACTTACATAAGCTGCGTCAGTAATACACGCACTGCCATCGCATCCCCTCGTGTCGATTAAATAGTGAACCTCCGTTCTGAAAGGAAACGAGAAACGGTCGAAGTTAGTACAAGCAATTAAAACTTTAAACTCTTAAGAGGGCGAAGAGAAAATGAAAATGAACAGCTGCACAAGAAAAACCACACCACACACCACACGAGTCGTCTTCCAGTCGAGCGATAGAATATAGTTTCCAGTGTTCGGCTTCTAATTCGCCACTTCAGAAACGAGCGGGAAACTGTTCTGGGACTGTTACTAAGGAATTGGCCAATAGCTGACCGGGGTGTCTTCAGTGAAGATCCAGAGACACTTGGGGGCCGCATTTCGGCTCCAGGGACCCGTTTCTCGAAAGCCCCGGCAAGGTTTCGGGCCCGAAATCAAATTTTCAAATCGAAATATAAAGAATAAGAGCGCGGGTTCTGGCTAGCAAACTACTCCATGCTGTTTCATTAACTGATAGTTTTATCATGTTAGATGCAAAACTATTGAAACCTCCGTCTTGCATGTAAACAACAACAGCTTTACGGGCCCGTTAATTATCGGGACTTTCGAGAGACGGGCCCCACTGCCCTTATTAAGTGGCGAATGGAGTCGCTACAGCAAATTTTCTACACATATCACCAAGGACTAGTTTTATAGTTGATACAGGTAGGTATAAAAGAGATTAAAAAAGAGGTGGCTTATTTAATTTCGCGAAAAGCAATGAGTTAATTAAGTCCCCTCCTCTGGCAAAAAGAAGAGGTTGAATGATTTTGTAAGTGAGTACAAACAGCACCTTGAAAAGTGCTCGCGAGGTGAAAATTTCTGTCGCTTGATTAAGACTCATAAAAGCAAAACTTTCTCGGGCGCTTTATTTATAAAGGGGGCCTATTAGAACAGGATGGTGTTTAAAAGTGGAGTTTATAAGGTGAAGAAATCCATACTAACCCTTTGCCGGACAATGCTCGTCGCACAATGATATGACTCGTCCCTCTCTGTAAGTTTGCCACTGACCTCCGCGAAATAGGCACTGGAGGCCCTTCGGAGAAAATATACGGAAAGATCATTTGCTCGCCATCGTTACTCTCCTTAATAAACAAGATGGTTTCCAAAACTGCAGAGAGCGCTCTCGTGAAAATTCTTGAGCCATTCATGAACTTCTCTGGCGACACTAGCAGTACAAGAATTAGCGTTCCTTTGCCCTAACAAAGAAAAAGGAAAAGTTAGAGCCGTTACCGGTAATACTGACGTACATAACACATAAGGTGAATGAATTATCAGGGCCTAAGCTAATATTGCACCCCATGCTATTTATAATCTTTTTCGAACACATCGGATAATCGAAAACTCAAGAAAAAAAAGGTCGACGTTTTTGGATCTTTCTCTTCGGGTTTTTAGTTTTTCCAAACAACTTTTTGTTTTTCGGAAGGGCGATCTCGGCATTGTCCTATAGATAGGAAGTGAAAAGACCAACAAAAGCGTTTCGCCGCTACCTGCTTTTACGGTCAATAACTCCAAGAAACTGAAAACCGTTTTTCGCACAGGTTTGTGGTAACTAGATCAATAGGCCGTTTCCGAGTTCCAAAAAATCTCACTTTCAAAGCGAGGCTAAGTGCGAAGCCATTGATATGAAAATGATTTTTAATTATGACGCAAATAAAACTCATTTTCACAGCAAATGTTTCGCACTTAGCCTCGTTTTGAAAGTGAGATTTCCTGGAACTCGGAAATGGCCTTTTTATCTCAACCTTCCCCCGAAATCGTTCCCAGTGTCTCTCCACTTCCCGTCCGCTGAAGAAGAGAGGCCCTGGATCTCTTGGACCAGTTCGGGGACATCACCTCGCAAAATAAGGGACAAATACCACACAAGCTTCGGTTTTACGGGCAACAAAAACGTGCAACTTGTTTTGCAACATTGCTGCACAACGAGTTGAAAAGCGATGTTGTGCGTTTAACTAACCGCGTTCAAACCTGATAACAACCTTATTTGTTGCAGGACAGGTCTGATGGGGTTGGTAAAACGCGCAACATCGTTTTTCCACTCGTTTGCACTAGGATAGTCGTATAAATATACCCAGCCCATTACGCTATTGATCGGTTTGAAAGCGTGGTTCCTACGGGATTTCACTCACCGGCTTTGGCTTTGATGTTTCGCAGTCCAAACCATCCCTCAAACATTCCTCAGTGTTGCATATAGTATCGCATTCCGCGTTTTCAAAGCGAGGTTTGCAGTAATCATCAGTCCTGGAAAACAAATTCGGGTCATCAGTTACGTCTTAGTCCTAGTGTAAAACCAGTTAAAGAGTTTTTATACACCAGGCCCCGGTTGTTTAAACATTGGATAGCGCTATCAACCGGATAACTCACTATCCAGCGAATACGTATTATAAAAAAAATTGCGTTACCCACTAAATCGAGATTTATCCAGTGGATGGCGCTATCCACCTTTTAACAACTGCGACCAGAACTAAAAAATAATGGTTCGTCGTTGCTTTACAGTACGTCCTCCTTAAAACGTGCAATGAGACATTTTCACGTCGTTGCGTAGTCGTCCAGTGGCGGCAAAGAAATGTACGAAAAAAGAAGTGATGCACGCGCAAAGTTGTTGTTCTACTTAAATACACCCTAACACCTATTGCTTTTTTGACGCTCTCGTTGCCGTCGCCGTTGCAAAAGCTCCTTACTATAAAACCGCGCAGCACCAAGTGAGGAGCACTACGTGACGCCAGCCCGAGCGGTTGCCAAGGAGACTAGTAAACAGTAAATCATGTGCATTTCACAAATTCATCTTACTCGCATTTGCCTTTAGGTGATTTGCAGTCAAAGCCATCAAAGAGGCATTGTTCGGTATTACACTCAGGATTACATTTGCCATCCTTGAAAACCTTGTAGCAGGGTCCACTTGTCGTCATTGTACTGCAGTTCGCCCACGGCTCAGTCCCCAGAGAACACACAGTACCGTCATAGTTGCACGCGTGGTTATTGCATTTTTTCTATTGTGGATAAAATCAAATTAATGTGAGCAGCAAACACACCTAGGCAAGGTTGACACAAGAAGAAATGTTTCTGGGTTCATGCATGTTTTTGGAATTATCACAAGCAGAGTATTCAGATTCGCGTTTACAAACATCAGTAAATCTTGGAATAACATTCACATTAGACAATGGATTCAAAATCGCCAAACAAGCGACCAAAGCGGAAAGTTCTTGTTTTGGAATCGAGCATCTCCGTTGTGTAAACGGCAAAACGAATCTGGTACAAAAATGATTCGAATTCGTCTCGAGTCAAGAAAAAGTTTCTCACAGTGAATAATATTAGATAATTTTTATTTACAAAAAAATTAAACTATTTTCAACATGATTGCTGCGATCGAAGACGGAAAAAATTGAAGATGGACTTCAGTTCTACCTGAAAAAGGTCGAGCAATTGTACCGATCACATGAAAACCAGTGGGCTTAATTTGACTTCAGATATGGATAAAGCTTTATATAAATGTAAGTAATAATTATTATCGCATGGTGGCAGCGTAGAAATATTTGTATAGAGAAGAGCATCGCTATGGACATAAGTTTTCTTTTGTAAGGCATAAATTATGCAGAATAACTTTGGTGTCTTTAACTACTGAAATAATGATAATTAGTTACCTTGCAAACTTCGTTATCACGAAATTTTTGTGCACAGTCATCATGAGGGCAGCCGACTTTTTCTTCGCAATAGTTGCCTGTGTATGCATCTACAGTGTAAAAGGGAAACAGTACGGTTAAAGCCACAAAACAGAAACCTTGAACACTGAGAGAAATACCTTGTACATACTAAAGGTGATGCTACACGGGACGATTCGCAACGACCATTTTCATGCAACACAGCGTTACAACATCAGGGGCGGATCCAGGATTTTTTTTAGGAGGGGGTGGACCCGTCTCTTGCTCTACTTCAACACCAATAAACCACATAGCTTTTTTTTTTTGCAGAATACCAGTTGTATTAGAAAACCGCAGATCATCTCAGCGGGGGGGGGGGGGGGGGGGGGGCCCCCCCCCCCCCCCCCCCCCCCCCCACCCCCCCCGCAAATTTTTTCCCGAAGCAACATAAGGGGGGGGTGAAGAAAAAAAAAAACAAAGCAACGGGGGGGCAATTGTGAAAAAAAAACAGAGGGGTGACGAAGCAACAGCAATCAACAACAGCAGTTAATACAAAAACATTCGAAAAAAAGCGAAGAAGGTGATGGTATTTTGTTAGGGGGGGTCGTTCCCCTTCCTTTCTTGCCACTTCCAAAACCTATTCCAACTTTTTTTTTTTTTTTGATAAATATATATATTAAAAAAACACCCTGGACTTGCGGGGGGGGGGGGGGGGGGGGGGGGGGCTTGCGCTCCCCCTGCACCCTCCCCCTAGATCCGCGCCTGAACATTGTTTCGCTAAGAACATTAAGGGACGGTTTAGAAAATAAGAAAACGAAGCCACGGATGGGCAAATTTGAACACGATAACAAGGGATTGTTCGTCTTTTCTTTTCCTTTCCTTCAGGCTTTCTTTTCACAACTGCTTAAATTGCCTACATAACTGCGATGATCTTTTACGCGCTAAACTGTGGTTTTGTTTAGGAATAATGGCAGACGTACATGTACAGTAGTTAATAATGATATAAAGAAAGCCTGACCTGTACATTTGCATGTGTAGAAGCCCTTCTGGTCTTGACATGTTCCTCCGTGTAAACAAGGATTGCTCTGGCACTCATTTATATCGTTCTCGCAGTTTCGGCCAGTAAACCCCACAGGACACTTGCAAGTATACGAATTAAATCCATCAATACACGTTGCACCATTTTGGCACGGTACAGAAAGGCAATCGTCTATGTTCCAGTTGCACTGGTTTCCGACAACACCAGGCATGCAAGAGCACGAATAATTGCCATCTCCTCGAGTTACACATGTACCGCTATTAAGGCAAGGATCATGTGCGCAGCTAGAGACAGGACGCTCACAGTTTAACCCTGAAAATCGATGTGGACAAAGGCAAATGTGTCTACCGGCACCATCCTTGCACTCGCCCCCATTCTGACAGGGGCTAGACAAACACTCATTGATGTTGGTGCTGCAGTTCTTGCCCAAAAATCCATTTTTACACTTGCACTGGTAGTCATTCACCAGGTTAAAGCACCTCTCAGAACCTAGAGGAGAACATGGGTTGGGAGCGCATTCGTCGATATCGTTTTCACAACGTAGGCCAGAATATCCAGCTGGGCAGTTACAAGAGAAACTCCGAAGCCCGTCACGGCAAAATCCGCCATTAAAGCATGCTGTAGAGAAGCAGTCATTAGGGTTCTTTTCACATCTAGTACCAACATATCCCACGGGACATGTGCAGATGAAACCATCCACTAAATCAGTGCATGTGCCTCCATTTCTGCATGGGTCCCCTGCGCAGTCATCTATATTTATATCACAATTTCTTCCGGTGAAACCTCCTATGCAATTGCATGTGTAGTTTGCAACTCCATCGATGCAATTAGCGCCATGTTTACAAGGACCACTGGCGCAATCATTAATATTGACTTCACAATAGCTCCCGGCAAACCCAGGTGGACAATTGCATGACTGTACGTTGCTTAGATCTACGCAAGTGCCGCCATTCTTGCAAACATCGCTCCCACCAGACTTTGTCACCGCTTGCGCACAAGTTATCTCTTCAACATCACAGATGACACCTTTGAATCCTGGCAGACATTCACAGCGAAAATTGATCCCAGTTTGCCTGCACGTACCCCCGTTTACACACGGAGTATTATCGCACCAATTAATAATACTTTCACAGTTTACACCAGTGTAACCAGGGGGACAGTAGCAGTTGTAAGATGCAATCTCATCAACACACGTGGCTCCATTTTTGCAGGGTGATGGTGTGCACTCATCAATATGGTTCTCGCATCTCCGTCCAGAAAATCCAGGTGAACATTTGCAAAGGAAGTCATTCACTTCGTCCACACACGTCGATCCATGTAAACAAGGGCTGTGTAAAGAGACAAAAGAGAAACTTTTTACTACATGCACACATGTCATGTTGCTATATATCAGACGAAAAAAGTTAGGACACTTCCACCGAAAAACTGTTTTTTTTTTACTTCTGGCATGTCTCCGTGTCCTCCCAATGTTGTTTATAGCAGTTAACTCACCAAAATCTTGAACACCAACATTGGGAGCACAAGAAGACAGTAAAGTGTCCCCCAGTTTTGACTGAGACTGTATAGTCAACTGTTGCAGAATGTGTGAAAACAGTGAAACATCAATATAAAAGACATTAAATGATTGAAAGAAACTGAACAATATCCACTCCAGACACAGCAGGGAATGCCTGATTGTATCTCCCACAACAACAGGAAACAAACATGAAATTGAATGACTCAACGACTCACACCACAGATCACACCAAAAGTAATACTGCCAAGGAAATACAGCATTTTTGTGATTTATACATGTCTCACACGTTTTGCCAGAGTTGTATCTTTGATCCCCTCTGACTGAACAAAGACAAAGTACTCACCTGGTCTCGCAGTCATTAATATTAATCGAGCAGTTTGCACCGGTGTAACCAGCATAACAGCTACACATGTACTTGTTGATGCCATCAGTGCACTGTCCATGTTTACATGGGTTAGTAGAACATTCATCGATGTCAATCTCACACAACTGTCCACTAAACCCTGCGCTACAACTACACGAGTAGCCAGTCTGTTGTGAGACACAAGTCGCACCATTCTTGCACTCATTTCCCAAGCAATTGTCTATCCTAGTTTCACAGCTTGTACCTAAATTGAAATAGGATAACATTCAATATCCAAAATTTGTTTTCCATTGAAGTGGATTTATTTATTTACAACTTTGGAAACTGTGTATGCAAATAAGTGGGTATGGTACAAAGCTTCATGTAATGTAAAACAGGCTTTCCTTAATAGACAATAGGGAGCTTCAGCATAGGCATTTTTGAGCGACTGATGCTCAGCAACCAGACTTGGGGCCTTTCCCCTTTAAATATGCCTTGAAGCTTCCAAATTGGCATTGCTAAGTGTCTTTATTATTACAGAGACAATCTGGCGGTAAATTTGGGCAAAACCACTGCCCAAGAATGCAGAGAGTCTACTTCCTGTTGAAGTGCATTGTTCAAAAATGCCTTTGCCAACTCCAAACTGTTGCCAGGAAATCAAATGATTATTCAAGCATGTAAAGGCTGAAACAAACCTGTATATCCAAATTGGCAGTGACAGTGATACTGAGCAACGCCATCAGTACAAGTGCCTCCATTCTGGCAAGGTGATGAACCACATTCATCATGGTTATAATCACAGTGCCGTCCATGAAAACCCGGATGGCAGCTGCAGTAGTAAGTGTTTAGACCATCAATGCATGTGCCACCATTCTTGCAAACCACTCCTGAACAGTCATTGATGCTATCTGTACATGTTGGACCTAAAAAAGCAATGCAAATGTGAATTACAGGTAAGCATGGCAAACACTATAAATTGACCACATTGATCATCTGAATGTACTTATAGGGGCAATCAAGAGGCCCTGCCAAGGGGGGTCCCATGTCGCCTGTCTGAATTTTAAAACGTCTTGTCTCGGTGCTTTTAAATGCTAATTGTCGCTTATTGTCGGCTTTGCCGTCACTGTCGCAATTTGGCCGAGGGAGGTTGTCTCGTGTCGCGATTTCATTTTACGTGCTGTCGCTACTTTTTGGGTCACGTTACTTGTCAGAATTTACCCTGGCAGGGCCTCAATCAATGATAAAATGTAGGTAGAAATTTGGATCAGATCCAATCAAGGTCATCACAATTATTTTTTCTGTTTCTTTTCAACCCAAGTGTTGAATGGTTTGCCACAAAGTCTCAGATCTGTTTTCAACTTCTTGGTGAGTCTTGCATTTTGCGTCTTTTGCTCTTTAAAACTAAAATTCCAGGGTCAATGAAAATTGTGTTTACATGTACAATCACGCATAAAAAATCTCAGATCACCTGAAGAAAAATATTTTGCAATTTTTAACTAAGAATGAATTATAATGTACATGTACAAATGCACCACAATATTTTTGGGTTCAGGACACCTTTTATAAAAATAAAAGACTTAAGGTCTGAAGTCATCCTTACCACTTGTACCAACAGGACAAATACATTTGAATCCGTTAGCAAGGTCTTGACATGTTCCACCATTCAAGCAAGGATTGCTGCCACATTCATCTAAATCTAACTCACAATTTTTTCCAGTAAATCCTTGAAGACATGTGCAGTTATAATCATCAATTCCATCCACACATGTCCCATAGTGCTGACAAGGAGACGATCCACACTCATCAATATCAACCACACAATTATTTCCAGCGTAGCCTCTACTACAATTGCATGTATATCCACCTTGGCCATCAACACATGTAGCACCATTATGACACGGGTTTGATTGACAGTCATCAAAGTCTGTCTCACAGTTTTTACCAATAAAGCCGGGCAGGCATCTGCAATTGTATCCATTATGGTAGTCAGAACACTGTCCACCATTTTGGCAAGGAGTGCTAGCACATTCATTTATATCTTGGTCACAAACTGTGCCTGTCCAACCAGGATTGCAGAGACATAGAAACTTATTGACGAAATCGACGCATGTGGCACCATTTTGGCAAGGACTAGAACCACATTCATTGATTAAAAGCTCACAGCGCTCACCTGTTAAAAGGAAAAACACATACAGTGTAGAAAGAGTTGACGACCTCTTAATATAAGTAAACTGGTATATATACATGTAGTTACCTGTTAGGTACTAATGTGTTCCTGGCAGAGTACATTTTGAAGTTTAATAACAGCAAAAGGGCTCAAAAAAGCCTTGTCTGGTCATGTGGGAAAAGTAGGTTTTCTTTCTGGGCAAATAACTAAGGAACTTGTTAATCCTGTTCTGCTAACACCTCAATGTCTAACTTGGAAAACATTTAGTTTCTTTCAAAACTAAAATAACTCTTTCCCTTGGGACCAGTCATTAACCGTTAAATACTACACCCTTGTACTCTCACAACATGGAGTTACACATATCATAACTTACAAATAACATGCAATAAATTATCTACCATTAAGTAGCTGTATCGGGACTACCTCCCATGCGACCATTAAGTTTTCACATTTTGGTTGGCCACTTACAGGAGAGTTCAACTGTACATTATTTAGTGCAGTTGGATAAGAAAGGTCGTATGGCATAGCACTTATGTACCTGTGTAACCAGGGATACAACTGCAGCTAAATGATCCAGGAGTGTTAACACATGTACCACCATGATCACATGGTGAGCGGATGCTTTTAGAGCACTCGTCTACATCTGTATTGCAAGTTTTTCCAATCCACCCAGGGCTACAGTGACAACTAAAATTTCCAAAAGCATCTGTAGAACATGTTCCATTATTTTGACATGGATTACGATAACACTGATCAATGTGCTGACAAATTGGACCTGAAAAGCAGCAAAAAAGAAAATTATTTCATGAACCCTCTTTTTTTTAGAGCAAAGCCTTGATGACAAAGCAACCACAAGCTCAATTCAGGGTTGCATATATGCCAACTCTCCAAAATACAGCACTGATCTCCTGCTCTCCCATAAGAGTCACCAAATCTTCCAGGTTAAGTACAATAAGTAGACTTTTAAACTTTTCTGTGCTTTAGTTTAACATTTAGCCCATTTTTTCTCAAAATTTGATCTTTTTTACTCATTGTACTGTTTCTGGGACATTTTTGCATTTCATTAGTAGTCACTAACAAAGATTTTTTTCATCATTAAAATGATGAAAGCGAATTTTGATAGTATGTACAGCTGTACTGCATGTAAGACTTCATATAATGTCCTAAGCCATTCCCATGTCATATTTTGGTGGCTGGGTCATTTTGTGGGAGAGGGGGTGGGGAGGGTTGGTGCAAAATAGACCAAATCCAGATTTTAGATCTCGGGAGGTTGGCATCTCTGGGATTGGTGTTGATTAGTTCCAACATTTTTGAGTTGTGATTGGTTCAGTTGGTATTTAATGTACGCACTTACATGTATACTAGAAAAACCGTACATGAAAATGGCTACAGCTGTACATACTGTAGGTGTGTTAACAACTTTTACCTTATTTAAATACTGTAAGTATTGATCAGCATAGTATGAGCAAACACGTAAAGGTTTACTTTTGAGAGCTCACCTACATATCCAGGGGTACAATCACAATCATATTTCCCCACTCTGTCGATACACTGTCCATGATTCTGGCACCTAGGGGGATCTGTCGGCGATGACAATTCACAATCATCTGTATTGATGGCACAATCTTTTCCCTCCCACCCATTAATACAGCGGCATTGATAAGAACCAACAACGTTTAAACATGTCGCTCCATTGAGACAAGGATTGGCCACTACACACTCATCAACATCGGCATCACATCTGCGCCCAGTGAAATTTGCAGGACAACTGAAAAAATAAGCAGCAAAAAATTCAATACATTTAATAATATGACCTGTTTAAGACTTAGTATACTGTGGTCGTGTTCTATTGGGACCAACCATTTTTGGTTGGTTGGGTTGGTTGGGTTTTTTCGCGTTCTTTTGGGGAAAAACCGTTTTTAGTTGGTTTGGTTGATCAACTTTTTCAACCAACTCAGTCCCTGGTTGAAATGGTTGAAAACATTGGGTAGCATCTGCTGATCTTTTAGTAGGCATCGATTTTGGGGTGCCACACAGCTCTTTACAAGGCCTCACAGTATTGGCTGTAAAAACAATAGACATAGAAAAATAACAATGACTCTAGCCCTAAAACAATGGAGCTGAGTGTTACGGAGAACCAATGAAATTAGAGATTTTTAAGAGCTGCGTACTAACTGTCAATTTTCAAGTGTTGTGTAATTTGCCCCCATTTTTGTGCTAAAACTTTGCGTGACATGCTCGAATGGGTCTCATGAAAAACTAAGAGGAGAACTTGGAAACATTCAACAATAGCGGCCTTTATGTAACTTCAAAAACACTTTAAAAAATGAAAGGAGAAAAGAAACCATGTTTTGGAATCTAAACTACAACCAATGCTTCACTGATTTAAAAAATTCAGTCGTTGTTTTGAGACTGCTCTAAATTTGAAGTAAATGACAATTCAAGTTATCGAAAAAATCTAATTCCAAGAAATTCCAGCCTAATGAAAAGACTTGTTTTTACAAATCTTCTTACTTATCCTGTATCCCTCTCACACTGCTGTCAACCATCAAAAACAAAACACATTTCTTCTCATCTTGATTCTTTTCAACACATATTGAAGTAAACATTTTTAAAAACAACGTATTGTGTGTTAAAGTGATATTTGAAAAATAAATAATATATTGTTGACAAAAACTGAAACACTTCTTCTTTTAAACGACTGGGATGAGTGAGAATAATGGTTACATGTAGTTCCACTGTACACCTTACTATTTGCTCATGTACATGTATTATGAACACCAGCCATCTCTTTTGGTTTAAATTACAGAACAACAACAGCACTTATAATTGGTTAAAATGACTCCCTAGCACACTTCAAAAACTTTTGTCTGTGTCAAAATTGCCCATCAACCAATTATGCCATAAATTCAAAACAATACTGTTCAAGGAAAATCTTATTATGCTTTATAAAAATAAGAGATTTCTTAACTGCAAATGAATGCAATTTATAATTAGTACTGATTAAGACAATTTTTTCTTCAGCTTAAAACACATGCTAAACCCAAAAAAGTTCAGCTTAGGTAAAAAAAACATTTACAAGATGCAAATGAACAATCACAAACAACCATGATCTGCTAAAATTCGTCACTGACATTTCACAGTATGAAATTTGCCCATGCTGTGAAATAAAATTAATAATACGGTAATCACTCACAAGTACATAAAAACATTGATGAATAGTTAAATAGCTGCTAACTGAAGCTTACAAAAAAAAAGATTTAATTTACATTGATAAATTTGAAAATGAAATGGTTGTAGAAAATCAAGTTCAAACAAAACATTTCATTTCTCGGGCAAACCCAAAAAAGAAAAAAAGGAAAATTTTCTGTAAATCAAACAGGGATTTCGAGTACCTGTCCGGTCAAAAGTAAAACAGGAGAAGCTTTAAATAAACTATAAAATAAATAAAATATGAAAATTCCTGAGCACTGTGGTGCAAAAAATGAAAAACAAGAAAGAAAAGCAAAGAAAACTTTTCTGTGAATAATAAGGGAATTTTGAGTACCTGTTGAAAGTAAAACACAAGAAGCTAAAATAAACTATAAAATAAATAAAATACAATGTATGACATTCCTGAGCACTGAGGTGCAACACCCTTCAAAAGAATGCGAAAGTCTCTTTTGCATATCATTGGAAAAAAAACACCCTAAAAAGAGGAACATGGCAACAAAAGTGATTAATTTTTTCATTAAATTTATTTCATGAAAAGGCAACTTTGGAAAGAGAATTGCCAAGAGGAGGAAATATACATGAGTGGTCTTAAATGTGCTAGTGGGTTAACAAAAAACATTCACAATTACCTTATGTATGAATAAAATAATTATTTTTCTTTGCATAACAGCACACAAGTATACGTCAAGGTCAATTCTTAGAAGATTTTAGTATACACAAACTTTAGAACTAAAATTTGGGTTTCTAGACAATCGGTTAATCGCTATTTAACACTATCACTTTTAATTTGCTAATCCCAAACATGTCCACCCAGAACTCACATCACTACAAAGCTATTTGAGGTCACATTATTATGAATAAAACATGAAATAATATGCTTTTCTGTTCCCAAGTGTGGCCCAATATCATTAAAGAACAGTCATAATTCTGCCTAAAAAACCTACATGCAGACCTCTGCAACGTTAACTTCAGCAGGAAAGTGGAGAAAAAGCTGCGATTGATTTTGTCGATTTTCAAATTAATTTCCTCCAATGAAAAACATTCTCTATGCCAGTCCGATAAGTACAGCTGCTTCTTATGAAATCCACATGTTTCATGCTGACCGAACAATGGGTATGACAATGCGAAACCTCATTCAAGCTCCGGGTAGTCTTAAATTTCATTCCCTTCTTACTTGTTTCAAGCAAAGGAAACAAATAAGCGCACATGACCAGTCTCCTGGCAGAAGCAACTTGAAGTTGCTAGCAAAAATCTGTAAGAAAACAACATGTCTACTTCCTCAAGAAGCTGACAGATTTGAAGCAAATTTTCAAATTAGGCATCCATTCTTTCTTTCAAGTCTAATTTGATTAAAAGGCACAATTAACATTTGCGATAACACAATTATGTCTGTGCCCAAATGCTTGTTATTACTCTAGGCAAAGCTACTTTCGACCTGGAAGACACTTGGATGAAAATTTTATTAGTTTAATTTTAGCACCGTATTTCAAAAAAAAAATCTCACACCGCGGCCACCACTTGCGCTTTCGCCTTTAAGACCAACGGAAGTGTTCAAAACTTTTTTTTCGACTCCCTTTTCAAGAGAATGAAACTGAAAGCGTCGTTCCGAAAGAATGACAACCTTTGCAGATTGATATTGTGACAGCATTTTGTTTGAACTGTGTTTTAGTGTAATACACCATAGATCGTAAAGATTTACAAAGGCAACCGAAAGGCGAATAATTACGCAAACGTTTTTTTTAACACTTTTACACACTCGTACAAATGCGTAACTTGGTGCATTTCAGTACGAAAGTATTGCCAGGAACTTGTTTTCCTAAATTGGCAAATAAGAGAAACATTCTTCGGATGAAAGAAACTTAAGTAAATAAAGATTATTCAAAAAAGCCAATAAAACTCGCGCAGAAATGTCGTTTTCGTAAATAAAGAATTAATGTCAGGCGAGACAAACAGGCAAGTGATGAAAAGAAGAAAAACAATAATCCAAGAAAGAATTAGACAATCTCGAGTTACTATTTTTCTTGCAAAAGTTTCCGCAGTGAATTATTTAACCATAAACGGCTAAGTTGATCATGTGTCGAGTCTCTTTTTGGCGGCCGGGGAACCATTGTTTTGAAAAATTTTATGCTATTGTGGCGACTAATAGAGATTGGGAAGCAGCAATTTTGAACTCAATAATCTATAGAATTTTATTCCGGATCTTAATCCCCACAGAGACCATTTCTGCCACTATGATAAGAACGGGTAGAGCTGTTTGACTGGCCCATTTCCACAAACGCAAACGTTTTCAAACGAACAACAACACAAATCTTGACGCTTCGGAAATCGGTTGGCGTGCTTCTAAATAACCCTTTGTTTCACCTTGTAACTAACTTAGAGTTGTTAAGCTGAAGTTTTGAAAGTTTATCAATATAAAAGCACTGTTAATTAGGACCAAGCATTTCAAAACGTGTCGACGCGAAAACTACACTCGCTCGCCTCAAACGCGAAACAAACGTCAGAATGTGGAGGAAACTTTTCAACACCAACTTCCAATAAATCATCATTATTAAGTTCACTTTTAAAGCGAGTTTATTGAGGACACTTTTATGTTGAATAAAAACATCTGCTAAGCTTTCTTAATAATGCATGATGTTTGCGACTCGTAACTGTTAAGAGTAACCCACATAACATGTGTCATTAAAGCGCGGATAGTTAAATTAACCGTAATTTTGATTGCAACGAGAAAATATGCAGCTTCTGTCAAAATTACGCTACACGAAAGCATCCAACCTTTTAGATTTTGATTTAAAGAGGATTTTGGTTGACAAAAACTGGCTATGATTGGAGCCAACAGGATGAAATTAAATCACGCTCTCCACTGCGTATAAAATTGCGGTTTTTTATAAGCTATTATTTACCAAATGGATGTCCATTCTAGTCTTTCAGATTTCGAACGCGCGAAGCATGTGTTACGATTCAGTTTGAAATATGACGAAATAAAGCTAAAAATCCCCGTGAAAAGATAACTAAATGTAAAATAAGCTTTCGATGAGATTACTAGACACGCATTGCTGTCTTCTTAAACAAACATCGCTCTGTCAACTAGTTAAGGAAACCATGCAGGTAGGAATTCACGTGCCGAAAGCATCATCTGGAATTCCAAGAGAATTAAAAGCGCTAGTTTATAGCTGGGTTAGTCTACGGAACTGTCGGTACTTACGTGCAGTTAGCTTGTCCTCTAAAAAGGGAGCAAGTTCCACCGTTTTTGCAGTAATCAGGAGTACACGTGGAAGCTGTAAGAGACAAACAAAAGCACGAAGTTGAACCCAAAAGCCGTCAAAGCCAGGTGGAATCTTAAACAATACTCTCGACTTTACAAGCTGCAAAGGGACAGCTGTTCTTGTACGCTGTTCGATACGTTTCCTATCTCTTGAGCCCCAAATGAACAACTCGCAACAAACGAAGCCAACTTTCGTGGCCGCATATTTGCGAAACTTAATTCAGCGAGTGAATTCCACAAGGAGTCCACTTACACACTGTGGTATAAGTTGACCTATAAATAAGAACTACCAACGGTCGATTTCTGTCAAACTATTAAACTTAATGCTCCGATCCTTAACCAGTAGTATTCTAGCATTTCTCAACTTGAATGATGGCGTTCGATCGGAGCAAGATTTGCGTGGAATCGACCGACGTAATTATCAACGAGAGGTGTAAATATAGCCGCAGTTAGACACAATGATGTGCGCCCCACGGAATGAATTCAACCGTCTTTTCAATTAAGCACTAGATTCCTTCTTTAAGCTGCAATCAAACTTCTGTCAAAGCCGAAGATTTCCACATTCGAAGCGAGCTTTCCGCAGAGACGAGCCAGGAGTCCAATGAACTGAGTTCGAGAAGCATTTATCCAGAGTGCCATCCAGTTTGTTTGACGGTTGTAATATGGCCCAGAACACGCATCTCGAAAAACAACTTACCAGAAAGGACTATCGGAATGAACAAGCCCAAAGCAATGGCGATCGCAAAGCCCTTCATAGTGAACTTGCTGTTCAGTTCCCGTAAAGTTGGATCAAGTTTTGAGCATCGTTGGGCAACTCGACATCAATCCGTGAAAAGCACAGTGTTCCCACAACCGGAGTAGAGTTTCACTGACTTCAACTCCCAAGTGGTCTCCAACAGATACATTTGCATATGCAATGTTAGCGCCGACCAAATTTCCACTGACAAGCGCCGCGCTCTCCTTCCTTTGTGGCGAGATTGTCCAATCACGGAGCCCCGTTCCTGTTTGACCAATGAACCGGCTCCGCCTTTGAAAATCGGCTTGAGTGCCGTGCGTTTTGTGTCGTCACGGCCTGGCAAGAGAGCCGTAATTGTCCCTGTCTAATTAGTCAGCATCAACGGGTAGGCCAAGGTTTTCTTTTCACTTGCAGGGATTACAAAACGTGGGAAAATCGCAAAGGACGTGCAAGTTACGACGTTTTGTAGTCAGGTGGTTGCAACAAAGCGAAAAAGCCACATTCTACCTTCAGCGACCTACTTATTCAGGTTATTTGATTTGTTTGACACATTAATGATTGCATTTACAGGGCAATAAACACTTTTCGAACAAAATCATGTCGAAATGTCAAAACAGTAGTTAATGCGTGACCTGCAGACGAACCCGAAGTAACAATCGTTCTTCAGTAATGCTCCCTTTTTTGTAAAAAGTCTTCATTCTCCATTCATAAACTATACTTTTCAAATAGTTTTCTTAAATTTTAAAAAACTGCCTTAAAGTAAGGTTTCACTTCTGTGAAGTGCCTTTCAGAGGGTTTCCATAGCAACTTTCGAAATTTAAAGCGACCTTATTTTTCCCACGGTGAGATAAGGCATCTAAAGTGAAGCGGAAAGCGCTGTTTTGTCGTTTTAAGGCAGTGTTGGTCGCTTGGAAAATTGTTTTTGGATTTTTAGTTTTGGAGTAGACTACACCCACAGGATCTTGTTGCTAATAAAACTGTTTCTTTCCCGTGATTTCCGTGATAACAGCATATAAATGACAGGAATTGTTTTAAAAATAAACTGGATCCTGCCCCAGACGGACAGAACAACACAATTTTCCTAAGCTGATTTTTTCGAGTCAAAGATTATCTCGATTAATTTCGTGTTTATTTATATAAGTTTCTCTGTTTTTTTTTTTAACAAAAGCCAGACGAAATAAAGGCTTAACGTTTGTAACAAACCATACGAAAGGGATTGACTATTGAAATATGTACGACAGAGTTCCTTTTAAAATGTTAACCAGCTTTTTCCGGTTTTGTGTTTCTTTGAAACGTGGTGAATTGTGAAAGAAATGTACAATTACCTCCTCATCCCTAAATGAAAAACTAAATATAGAATTTCACTCCAAGCAAGTAAAGTGCAAGGAGGACCTTAATACGATTATCTTTCTTGAAGAACTGGAATTTTCCCTTAGTTTGTTGTCTTAAGGAACCTTCGAAAAAAGCCCGAGTAATGCATAAGATGAACTACCATTTGTCAATGTAAACATCCAACCTGGCGATATTTGAAAATCGCATTGAATATTGACACAAAGATTTTCACAAGTTAATAAAATCGAATTATGACATGTTAATACGAACAATACAACCATAGACAAAACTTCACCGATTTTGGGGTCTAGAGTCGTTTGCATAAATTGCAGGTCCAGACTTGTTCAACAATTTTAGATGCCGCGTTGTGATTACCACTCATAAATCGATATCTATCTATTTTTACTATATAGCGAAGAATCTCTGATTCTCATTGATTAAATATCTTCTTTAGAGATTATGTTCATTCTATGTGACCTTGTGTAGACTAACACTAAGATCAATAGCATTGCTATAAAATGTCCTTGAAATATTCCTATTGTTGGTGTGCTTTCTCTTTTACCCTAACTGGAAATACTATTTGCAGCACTTAAGCACGGCTATGAATTCCAATTTGTTTGACGGGCTCTTTTGCAATATTGTTTTGCCTGTCAGCAATATTGGAGCGTTCATTTCCAAAAAGAGCAAAAAAGAAAAGCGCTAAAATAGGCAATCACGTGACGCAAGTCATATGACTTCGCGCCACGTGTCGATAGAGTGATAATTCAGGGGGGGTGGAGGGGAGGTGGTACAGGTGACGAGATTGTCAAGTAAGGCTTAGACTCTTTCTAAGACCATGTGTTCTTGGGTCAGTCCCACCCGTCATAACAAAAAAACTACTTTCAGGAAAATTAACAGGTGTACGCAGAAACTATCAAAACATCCTTGGGGCGACGTTGTTGAATTGAAAAAAAAAAAAAGAAAGAAAAAATAAAAAAATAGAAAGAAAGAAAGAAAGAAGAAGAAAGGTTTGATCAAACAAACCGGAGAGAAAGAAGCTGTCATTTTTTGAAAGTGTCCGTGATCTACTGATTAACCTACGTTACATTTCTTTTGTTCATGTTGTTACTGGGAGTAGTTTGTCTTTTGATGAAACTCAATGAACTTTTCTATTGTTCCAGTTTATTGCCGTAATGTGATTCCAGTCATTTTACACTGACTTGTGAGCCCGCAAATGATCTCCAAAAACTAGGTGCTTGTCACACCTTCTCATGCTCTCTCTCAGGGTCAAGTTTAAGAGTAAAAAAATTGGCAGTGAGTGGTAGAATCGAGAAGTCTGCTTATTTTCTTGTATTGGCGTGATGATCTTTTTAATGTATCAAAGGAAATAAAAAGGGTACAGTGGCTTCAAGCCACACAAAAAAATGTTACGACAAGTAGCATCGTGTACTTAACAATGGAACACATGATCGTTTGAAAAAAAACACTCAAACACAGCCAATCAGAGTGCACCATTTTCTTTCGGCAAACAAGGCCTTCTCCATCTCTAGGGAGTACAACTGTGTTGTTGCTTATTAATGAAGGCGGGTGGAATTAACCTCACAAAGAAAAAGCGATAAACACGTTGTATCTGTGGCCGGCTAAATGGCAAAAGAGGAACTGTACAAATGACCATCAGCTGAATTCAAAGTTAAACAATAAACACGTTCGTAAAGTGTGTAGGTGAAACCCTATCGCGGAGAACGTTCGTTCTTTTCTCTAAACCGAGTAATATTCCATGAGAAGAACTGCTGTGCATCCGAGAAACGAAGGACTTAAATTGTGATCCTTCAGGGCTTCGTTTACTGATCGAAGTATAGAATTTCAATAAGTTCAATCAGTTAGTTTATTGGCGTAAAAGTCAAGCTAGATGGCATTTCAAACCAGTACTGAATCAGTCACCGCAACATAAAGTGCTGCGGCAATCCACTGATCCATGGACACAACCCGGCGAAATCGAGAAGAATCGAGTCGAAGGTAAGGAATATAACTCCACAGCAAAGCTTTAGACGAGGAATGTTAGAAATTCTCAATTGAAAAAGATTTTTGAACGCGATTCACTGAATAGCATAATGCTATCTTCAATAGAAAATCAACAGCGCGGGTATGTTAAGCCAACAATTACAGGCCTGAAAAATATACACCTGTCTTAAGAACAAGCAACGAAAATCGGCGTTTTAATATTACAGAGAGATAGCAATGGATTGCAATGAAATGAAAGTTTTTCTGCTAATTCCTTCGATCGACAAAGAAGACGGCACACCGAGTACAGTTACACCTTTTGTAGACTAACGTTCAATTAGTGGCCCTGTGAACGCCAAACCGTATTTTACGGCCCAAAGGTGCTGAGAGTTTTCAGCAGGTCTCACATCTCCAAACCGAAGTGTGCCGCTTTAATATACAGTTTGTTAATTTCCAACTGAAAAGGTTTTTAATTTTTTGCATAAAGTTTTTAGGATTTGACTGAAATTTATGCTTTTTCAAAAGCAGTGTTCACTGGACATTTCAAGACTAAGTATAAGATTCTGCGTAAAATGTTATTCAGACTTTATACATGTTTCGCAAAGAAACGGTTATTCCTGGGCCGTAACATTGCAATAACTTTGACGAGTTAAGCCAATTGTAACGGTTCGATTCCCTTCACTAGCTGCAGGTGGTGAAATAAAAGGAAAAACATCATCTCTTTATAGCAAACAATAACTTACACAAACTATTACTGAAAATATGTTAAGCTTTGGCGCTTAACCCTCTTGAGGTCTCGACGCATATTTCCCTCAACCCTGATTTCAATGTTTTCAGTTTGAAAGGTTGTCCAAACTGGACTCCTTTGTTTATTTATAGCCTCTCTGATTCATTTGCATGCATGGTCTAACAAAGCCAACTTTGATCATATGGAGTAGCGAGTCTTTGTTTGCATAGGCTTAGCGGGTATCTTGTAAGGCTTTGCGTGTTCAGTATTGGGGCATTGATCGCCAATGTTCATACTTTTCGAATGAAAAGACCTCTTCATATGCCTTAATGCTTAATCCACTTCTGCCCAGTCATCTTCATCGAAAGAAAAAAAAAACAAAAACAATCAAAGAGCCCTTTAGCTTGATAGGACATCAAAAAAGTCTTGTCGGAAAACGCGTTTGGTTCTTTGGGTGATTCCTTTCAATCGTTACGAGATTTAGATGAATTAATTTTCTTTTGCTAATCATGTTTGAAGTTCATGTGTTTGCTTCATTTTTGCATTATCACTGCATGACTGCCACTGGTTGTTTTATTAAGAGGAAATCACTTTAGCACAGACGAGCTCTCAGCGGTAGAGCGCGCTTGTAAGCAGATATAATCCTCGACTTATGAATGGCGACCTGAGTCCTAAGTTATACTCTAGTTGCAATTGTATTAGAAATCCATTTTTATCAATGATTTCTTAAACACATTTAGCTCATCCTATCATCTAACACGTGGTTCAAACACTTTGTCAGTTTTGCTGAAAATATATGGAAGGACACTGTTTCCCTCCAGAATTAGTTCGTTCATTTGATCATTTGATATATTTGCAAAACATTCTATACACTGTCAGACAACCTGGGCGGTCTCGATGTCAGTTAACGGTGAATACATGACTAATCATGTGCCTTGTTTCTAGAAAACCATTTTCAAAGTTTATGATCTTAAGTTGTATATAAAATATATTGCTGTAGAGTGCGAAAAACCGCATTACAGGAAATCACGGACGAAAGCTACCTCAGACGCAACGACCTAAGAATCACGCGACTAAAATATCACGCTCACGTCATTTTTTGAAGGGAGAGATTGGTAAACGTATTTTGTAAGGGGAATAACGTAGAAAGATTTTTGAAAAAGTATTTACTTCTTTAAAGGTTGGTTCTTTAGAGAGTCATTCCATATTTAAAGCAGCTCAGTTATTATCTATATGATTGCGGAGGTCTGTACAGCAAAGCGGTTCTAATTGCTTCCGTTTTTAAAATGGGCTATTAGTAAATTTGTTTAGATCGACAAGAAAAATCTTTTTTTAAAAACGTGATCAAACAATCTCTTGTACTGTACAAGTTCAGATCAATTTCACTAAAATCAAAGCTTACAGAAAACAAACAGAAAAAAAATTGTTCGCAAAGACTCCAGTTGTCAAATTTTCGAATTAGAAATTTTTGAAAAGTCTTCTAGCGAAAAATTTTTTTTTTTTTTTTGCAAAATGAAATTAACGAATGGAAAATTAACCTTTCCTGAAAACAATTAGTAAATTGTTAGGTCGGTATTGCCCTTTGTATTGTTCTGTAATAATGAGTAAATGGGGCCTTAGAGAAAATTAAGTGAACTGAAAGATATTGGTTCGGTAGATTAATTTATTGCCTATACGCTGTGCGTGCTTGTTATAGCGTTTCTAGGTAATTATGTAACCCCTACATTAAATGGTTAAAATCTTTTATTACGATACTAAGTTTATAGAACTTAAACGTTTCAGAGATGATTAATTAAGGGAGTAAATTGCCTTATGAGAAGGTATTTTTCGCGCCCACGTCAGCACCAACTCAAAATGGCGCACGCACAATTTTGCGCGTTGCCTTTCAGTTGATATTGCTTGTCTTCAAAACCGCATGTTCTTCGGTGGTGGTTATTACTATGACGCGTGTGTACAATTGTGGGCAGAGCATTCACCGATATATTTTAGTGGCATTCTAGAGCACAGTGCCTTGCAAGTGCTCTAGATGTTCACGGAAACACTAAGGCGATAAGCCAGAAAAGAAGGCAATGACTCCCGCACTATAAATTAGCATACGACAGTGGTATTTAATAGAGTTTTTCAAACGTGAGATTAAACATTCAACACTGAATATCTAGTAACCTCCCTGGACCATTGCTAGAAAGAAACTCCGTGAATTTCAGGAATTATTTGAATGTCAGAATTCAGGATTTAATCCACAGAGACGATAGGTACTTCTTTCCTACCACACATTATTTGAATTTTTGGTGGAAGTATTATAGAGGTGTCTCTTGTTAGAGCTTACGTACATCAATGCCGGAATAACATCAGCAACAACATCAATGGCCACGCGACTATGGCTTTATTCGGTGTCGATTGCAATGATCGCTATGACAAAATCTTTTTCCAGGGCGTTAAAAAAATGGAAAAAGAAAAAGGGAAAAGAGAAATTGGAGATAATGGAATGCGAAAAGAAAGGGAAGTTTGACTTGGGTATCGCCCCATTTACATTGCTACAGGAATGTTTAAATTCCCATGTAATGGCGGATTATGTCACCGCTATGTTATGTTTATAGTCGGACGTTTACTTTCGCATTGGGAAAGATACATTGGCATTCCGACAAAAGACGACCTTGGCATATTTCGTTTTTGATCCAAATCAGCTTATTCACCTTGACGTAACAAGTAACCGGGTTCATGAGGGCTTTACGCCGACCTGTATGCTAACCTAACGCATTATTATCCACAGAATTTGATAAAAGGTAGCTAACAATATTTAATGTGTCGCCGATAACAGAAAAAAATTGTACTGCGGAAATGGACGTTATGGGAAAAAAACGTTTAAACGATGCAAAATGCGTCTCAAAAGGCTCTTTCATCAGGAATTTATGGCGTATTAACGGAAGCTTGTTTCTAGTCCTGTGTAACTGGGATATCTTTGACCGACTTTTTGCCTATCGTTGCTAGTCATTTTTCTGCCTTTTAACCAGTTTCTCCTTGATTTCATACTTATGAATAGCAAGCTCCTAATTTCATTTTTTCTGCTTAGCAACAAACGACGTACTTAGATTGTTTATACCAAACTTCCAAGCAACACTCAGAGAGTACTCGGAATACTGTTGCGGTTCTCGTTAATATTTTACACACTACAATATCTGTATGGGTTCTCAAACTTAAACATCGCTCTTAGTAAATAAAAATAATACTGAGTAAAACTACGAAAGAATACTAGGTGCTATTCTTTGTCACATGTGTCGGTGAAAAGTTGAAAACCTTACTGAACATGTCTAAGTTTTGTTTAAAGCATTAGCAAATCATTAGATAGTATCACTAACTAATGAGTTCATATTCGGCAATATATGGTACAACAGCGTAGCTTTCGATTTTGCGAAATTTAGAAATCCTCGCAAATCAAGGCGAACCAGTAAAAGAAAGTAGGAACAAAAAAGCGTGGAAAAGTGCAAAATATAAGTAAAAATATGGTATATAGCTTATTCAGTATACTCTGGTCGGAAAGCCTGATGGGCAATGAGATTCTTACTTGGTCGTTTCAGTATATGTTACTTCCTGAATGTCACAATATTCACATACGCAACCAAATTCATATATTTTATTGTGATATCAACCACGCCATTACGTCTGTTCGTCAAATTTTACTTTGAACATATAAACGCACACAGGCGACCATTGGCTGTAGGATGCAATCCCCAATCTTACTCCCCGGCGCTCTTTCTCTAACCTTTGCCCAGGTTCTTATAGACTACGAGCAGTCTTTCGTTCAGTCTTGGTCCATCGAGCAAAACGCGCGAGACACGCAAATGACCACGCGGGTTACTGAAGGCGCGAGACAGGAGAGCAACTCGCGACTTCGGCGCTCGACGCTCGCGCGCGCGTGCACTCCCCTCACTAAATCTGAAGAAAAACTGCTCGCAGTTTAAGGTTCTTACAAAATGATTGCTTTTAGATGCGTTTTACGTTCCTATTTCCAACAAAAATGTCTGTATGATTGTGTGTCAGTAGATAAAACGATACAGATGAAAAATTAGGGCCATGCCCGAGGAGAGAAGGTATGGCAGGAACCTCGTGCTAACTGGTCAGTTTGTTCGTTCTAGTCTTTTCTTTCTTCGACCTTGTCCCCTTAATCTGGCTAACTGCAAAAAGACGGCAACTACGCGACCTATAGCACGACACAGTTTGCTCCGTTGAGAAAGCTCAGAAAAGTTCAGAATACCGTACGCGTATGCCACCTTCAAACACTCAGGTCATGATCACATCACTAATTATATTTGATCTTTTGACATTTAGAAATAACAAGATTTGGGGTTATTTCCGAACTGCTGAAACTTTTGCAAATAGTTGCCTTTTAAGGTTAAATGTTTAAAGCCCTTTAACCTTCCCTGGCGAAAAATGATGCAAAAATATTCTAGAATTTGCACGAAACTAAAAAATGTATGAATGAATTGATTGATCAATTAAGACGCGAGTTTTGGGATTGGTACATACATGCTCACGAAGTAAATTTGAATTCTTCGTTTTTCGTTTTCGTTTTAATCTTCAATTATTTGATTTCCAGTAGACAAAAAAGGCTTCCACAAAAACGTTCATCACAGACTAATTTTCTCTAAAGCTTTAATTTACAATCGTATTTACTGGAATTTTGTGGATTCACTTAGTCGAAAGCCGAGGGAGGAGGCTAGAGAGGAAAGATCGGGCTTCGTCGAGAAGCAGTCGTAGAGGAGAGAATGTTCTCAGTTTCTCTTTTACCTTCCCCTTGCGAAAGCCTGCCACGCTAGCTAAAGCATGATTTGAGAGATTTTTTTTCCTCCTGCACAATTTATGTTTAAAATTGACAGTCTTATTGAACAGAACTAGTGATAACGTTACACGTAGTTCAAGTGTATATGTGGCCCCACAGAGATGCATGGCGCCAGTTATGCGGCCTTATACTTAAAGAGTTGGTGTCAATGGGTTAACGCCTTATATGATTATAAAATCTACTTAACTGGATTTATCTGCAGACTCCATAGCGCACCTATTCATTCACCTTGATGGCAATTAAAAAACGGACTCTCTAAACGACTGAAAATCGAGCTTAAGTTCCTAAAGGTGCCCTGAAGTATCGCGGTCAATGACACCAAATGCTTATTAAATGTCTAAGAAGCTTCCGTTTTTTTAATGCAAACCGTTATCAAAGTTAAAAAGAACAATAGAGATATTTTTTTTCAAGCGCTATGCAGTTTACTATCACACCAATCGCTTTTATCTCCAGAAAATTAGCCCGCCGTTATGGGAAATGTCTTTATAACTGATTTGATTTTTGTTTTGTGTAAGATAACCTAAATGTGTCCGTTTTATATACAAAACTGTGTCAGTTTCTCCTTTTCTCGGAAACAGCTGAGGCATTGCCCTGTTTTTGTTGGGAATCTTCTAGTTTTTATTCAACACTCAGAAAATAAATGACATTGAATGCGAAACGCGTGAAACACTCTTCCAAAAAATCTAGTGGGAAGGTCGCTCTTAAGTGCACTGACTCAATCTGCAGAAGAAATTACTACTTAACAGATAAAATAGATAAATAAAGATTTAGTGGTAGCACACATTCATAAAGGGATTCTTTGGATATTATTTCTGATCGCACTGGAACTTGGAAAGCGGAAAATTGGAGTACCCGGAGAAAAACTTCCCGGAGGAAGACAGAGAACCAACAACAAACTTAACCATGCAATGGTGTTGCCTCCTGGACGATTCAGTTAAACCCGGGTCACTTTGGTGGGATATATTTAGCTTTCAATTACAAGTTCAAAGTTTGGGATTTAATTCTAGACCTACTAAGTTAGGACCACCTTGCAAAAAGCACTGTCATCAGTTTTAAAAACACTGTTTTAGATTGTTGTAGATTACCCGATTAATCACTTGAATTTTTTGAAAACAGTTATAAAGCTTTATTGCAAACGTTCTAGCTACTGTCGTAGCTACTATCCAAACAAAAGGATTGGAGAATGTTGTATGCCGGCCTTTCTTTAGCTTCAATAATTCTTTTCTAGCTTTTTTCCGCGGACGAAAGTTGTAATAAAACGGTTATAATTATCCAGAGCTCTTAAGCCTTGCTAGAGCTTTAGAAAATTCTAGGCAATATTTGATGCTTCGAAAAGATATTTTACAGAAAAAAGTCGTTGGGTACCCCTACTCCTGCCATTCAAAATCCACGATGAATTCAAACGAATTGAATATCTTTTATCATATAGCTGAGCCTCATTCCTGAGGTGCCGTACTTTGTGGCTTACAACTTTTGATCAAAGTAGTAGCTGAAATCGTTAAGTTTGGCAATTAAAAGTAAATCTGTTGGCATTTCTTCCTTTTTGCGGTACGGATCATCTTTTTCATTCTTCTTTTCAAATTAAATTAAATTTGGCATTTTTATTTGACTGCGAATGGCACCAAAGGGGTCAGGCAGACGGTCACCTTGCTCCCTATCTTCACAAAGTGATTATGCATTGCCCGTTATCTTGCTCGGAAAGTGCTGTCATAAACGTCTAACTGGATTTGCATATAGAAGTTAATGTTACTTAATTGGAAGTTTGCCGATTTGTCCGACCAAAAGGCACGATGAGGTCACATCTGCAGATTTCCGGCAATTATGCGAACATTTATGGTTTCCTGATAAGCATAAACATATAAACCTTAGTGATGAAACAAAGGCTGGGAAAATTACCTTTAAAATTTTGCCAAAAAACTCCTTGACCTTAATTGACTTACTCAAAGTTAATTGAACGAATAAAGCTCTTTTTCTAAAAAGTGAAACTTTCACCTGCGCTACTAGCTAAGTAGCAATGGCTATGATGAATTCAGAGCTTGAAGAAAAGGGTTTTGGGCGGTCCCTTAAATTTCTTAATCTTGGAAATGATAAAGCACGGAAAGAAATATTTTGGCCCTAGCTAGGGTGTCTTTACTCTGGGTCACGATGCCATAAATCGATGTCGTCGTAATTATTCACTGTACTTCAGAGATAACAAGGAAGGTGACCCTCTCCATCTCGAGATAAAATTGCACAATTAAATCTGCATTAGGACAATCCTAAAGCGTGTTGGAAAGGTTGGCCAGGTTTCGATACCAGCTGCTATTAGCCCTATGAGGCTTATATAGCGAGGAAGTTTTCAAAATTAAAAATAGGTCAGTTTGATTTAATTGTAAGCGTTTTTTGAATTGCTACCGTCAGGTAAAGTTCCCATAGTAGCGATCCTCGTTACTTTCGGAATTAGCAGCCTTTGAGGCTCGTTACTCTCGAGGGGTCGTTATTTTCGGGGACCAAAAACGATGAAACAAAGTTGGCGCAAGCTCTTTCCCCAAATAAAAAATAAACAACATAATATTAAAAAACAAACATTTTATTGTTTGTGTTATATGGTATACTACGTACTAAATACAGCAATACTCTGATAAAAAACGAGAGCAATGAATTCTTCGCCGACTCAGGGGAGGAAAGCTAAACTTAGTGCTTTTACTCCATGACAAACAAATTCGTTTCATAGTGTAGTATACAGAAGTTTCAGTTTTAACTTGAAAGAAACGTTCATGTTGTTGATATGAACTTTATTTAATCAACTTAGTTTTTACATTGTGCAATCTGTGAACTGACGTCAACCGGACGAATGATAGTTTCAGGTATGCCATGTTTGATCATGTTTCCCTTGGTGCCTTATCGTGATAAATTTGTAAATGCACGAAAATATTAGTATTGTACATTAAAAATTTGTCTATGGATTGCAACTGGAAAACAATAAAGACATTCCGTATGTTTATAACGTAATTGAAAAGACTTAATCTCGATAGTTTTTGGGGGCTTGCTGCTTTCGAGGGTGTCACTACGTTCGGGAGCTCCCTATTTTCGGGGTTTATTAGAAGTCAGAAACTTTTGACGTTACTTTGGGGGATCCTAACTTTCGAGGGGTCGCTACTATGGGAACTTTACGGTAGTCCTTTAAAATTTTCATCACGTAGTCACCACAACTCAAAAGCAAAAATTCCGCGATTCTTCCTTCTTTCAAGAGCTTAAGTCGTTTATGAGCTGATAATTTCAATTTCTACAATCGAATCTGTGGATTAACTGTCATGGGACGTAGAATTATGATAGCTCTTTTACGTACTTAACTATGGTGGCTGGAATTTTTATGCTGTGCAAGCTAGCCCAAAGGCTCCTAACTTTTGTATTTGTATATAGTGGAACCTCAAAATAACCATGGGTCCGCAAGGGACTAGCAAAATATATTCTCTATAACGGGGCTTTGTTTCATATATTTAATTATCACTGGAGTAAAGAAATCGTTCGTTATAACGAACGATCTATACAGAGGTTCGTTATATCGAGGTTCCACTTTAGTCATGTGAATGTGAGCTCCGGCCCGCTTGGCGTGATACCAATCGAAATTCGAAGAAAACGCCTTAGTTAACTTAGTCCTACGGTACGTTTTCCTGTTTCGGAACATATTCCATTATGAAACTTAGAAGTTTTGATGTCATAACCGTGAGGTCATAAGGATTTATTCACAGTTTGTTTCAGTCTGAGGTGCGGTGATAAAATGCGGCTAAGGTCTTCAGCAACGTTGGAAGCATAATAATACAGAGGACGTGTAATTGTCATTCCCTCAAGTTAGAATATTCAATTATGGCACCACAAATGGTCAAAATTGCTTTAAATTCACGTGGTTTCTTCTCAAAGGAAGTCTTAAGATATTTCACCGTGTCAAAAACTGTCCTCTCTGCGGGACCTTGGTATAAATTCGGAAAGAAACGTTTGGCTGTATGTCCTTACAAACCTAAGAGCGTTTCTTTCTTACTGAGAATTTCATGAGGTTAGAAATTTAAAGGATTAGTACAAGCTATAGATGATACTTTCAGCCAAACTAAATCTGTTGGACTGAATTGACTGACAGAAATCCAAAACAATATTGTCAGTTATTTGCAGCGGGCCACGTGGAGAAGACAACATGTGTATCACTTGCTTAAAAGTCTTTTGTTTAAAATACGGGAAGTAAAACTGAAAGACCTGAAAACATATACAAATTGACTTGAAAGTGAAATAAGCTATTCCTTTTAACTTACAAAATAGTCCAAAGACTTCCTGTGTCTTAAAGTATTTTTGTGGTAGTTTGTAAGATAAAATTTCTTTTAGTGTCTCTAAGATACCTTTAAGAAATTGGGGCCCATTTTGTTTCGGGATTATGAATTCGACGTGGACTGCGAAATTACTTTATCCGAAGTAGAATAATGTTTTAAGTACAAAAGTACAGAAATGCATGCGTAATTTTTCGAAATTATTTCAGGGAAAAGGAAGAAACAAAACACAGAAAAAAAACAAATATCCACAGTCTTTGAACTGATACACGAGTGAATAAATATTTTCCTTATTTGATCCAGGCCTTTCTTTTATTTATCTTTTCAGCAGCTAAACCCAGTCTATTTGTAGATCTAAACAGAATAAACTTCGCGCGCGAAACCAATACTGTTTTGAGACGAGTAAGACCGAGATGCCAGAAACCAATTCAGCTATGACATAATTTGATAAGGGAGGCAAAATGAATGAGTTAGATACAATACAATAAAGTAGATTTTAAAGCAGACTGTACAAAAGAAAATCAATGACAATGAAAGGTTACTTAAGCTTTGATTTCTTTGTCAACGAATGATTTTTATGGAAATTAAGCACACCCCCAAAACGTTTTTTGACAATTTGGATAACAAAGGCTTTCACCAGGATTTCATTCAATAATTCAATGTGACCTCTCGCGGAGTTCTCGAACTGTTCATCATTTGAGGCGAGTAAAAAGCTGTTTCGTGCTTATGACTTCGCCTTAAGCGATGTCCAACGCCATCCAAAAAAGAGAGACAAAACGCGCGCAGCCGGTTTTTTCTTCTTCAAGTAGCCTAAACTCGCTTCCATGACAATTTCTCTATAATTAGAACAACGCCCGAGCTCTTTTTAATAACGGCTTTCAATTCTCAGAAAAGCATTTCTCATTAAATACTGTGGCTGTTTTCATTTTTATGCAAACATATCGCACCCTGTAGGTAAACATCTTTGATCCCTGTATATGTTCGAATAATGCGTATTTTCTCGCCGTCTTAATGATAGCTCTGGGAATCGCAAGGGATGATTAAAACGCGCGAACTTAGAAAATGGACACAGGTTTTGTTTTAGTTTGACAACGCGTTTCATTTCAGTGTCAAATGCCACAGTTTTAAGGCGAATAGTGCTAGAATCCTCTTGAAAATTCTCATACTCTACGAACCGGCGACATGCATTTAAAGAGATTTCTTTTAAGCTCCGCTTTACCAAAAAGAAAAAGCGGAAACTATAAGACTTGTTTTTTTTGTTTTGTTTTGTCAATTCTTAATCTTTCTTATTTAGAAAGATTGAAATTTACTGAATAAAAAGTTTCTGTTCCTCTGTTTACTTTAAAAATCCTATTATTAAAGCGACTGACAAAGTTGAAGTCTTCCACAGCGCGGTCTTTACTCGAGCATGTCAAATCACAAAAAGAGGCCTTTTGTTCTGGAAAATTAGTTCGCGTAAAACGGGTCTTATTCTTTTCACATGTTCTACAATGGTTTCCAAGACTTGAATCAATGGAAAATACAATTCCGCTTTTCAATTTTGCAAAGTAACACATGCTCGAATAGACCGGGATTTTTGGGCTGTATGACAATTAAAAATAAAATAACATTTAACGCGTACGTCAAAATTACCAAACAATTTGCCACGGGCGGACTTAAGTCCGCTTGAATCCATGTCACGACCGGCATCGATCATAAGAATTCTGTTTAGAGTTTGCGGTAGTTTAATAACGTAAACTTCATTTTGTAATTTACAACCACCTCCGGGCGAGTTTAAGGAAGCGCGTACATTAAATGAAAAGACTTTTTAACCAAGCTCGACGAAATCGAATTTCACTTATGGAAAGGAACGATTATTTGGACTAAAGCGTGCGACACGTGCCATACATCATGTTTAAGCGGGTTTTCTGTCAAAATGACACAAAAGAAACCCCTTTCAAGACCTAAGCACGACAGCCTCTGCGCGAGCTAGGCGGGAGACAGTGCTACAACAGACGGCGATTTAAATATCCCTCACTTTCAAAGGGAAAACACCAACACTGGAACAGCTGTTGGAAACAAGAGAACTCGCGGGAACTGGCCGGCTACTAATCAAGAAAGGCACTTTTGTAAACGAAAGATCAAGAGTCAAGAGTAGGGTGCAATCTTGGTCCTTAGTCGTGCGCAATTTTTTTTTCATATATTTTTTTTTTTTTGAAAAGGGAAAAAATTCCCGGAGATCGAGCGCGACCTATGCTTGCAGTCATTTTCAATCATCGGCTTTACAATGATATCGTCAGATAGCGAGTGAAAATTAATCGCAAATGGCTCCAGGCTATTGGTGCAAAATAAAATCGAAAAGCCACCATTGAGCCGGCAGATAAACAGGTGTACGATTCGAAACGACTTGAAATGAAAGTAAAGCTTCACTGACCCCAATGCCAATCATTCAGTCATCCATTCACGTTTCAGTCAGTGCAATAGATCAACCAAAGCTATTTGGCTGATAATAATAAGATCTAAAAATCCCGCTCTCCGCAGAGTGAATAAACAGATCAAAGGACGTCCATGGAATGAATCAACGGGCCATCCCTTGAAATCACTCTAATGAAGTTAAATCTTAAATGGAAACTAATCTATGGGAAGCCTACCACTTGATTTATTTGCTGAATAAAATTCTTAGTTTTGAATAAGGAAATAACACAGAAGAGAGGATCCAAAATAAAATTTCCTTACCGCTTCATTAATTTCATGCCTCGTGGAGGGCAGAAGAAATCACTGAAGCTAGAGTTAATCGATCGGTGACCGTTGTTGTGTATTGATCATCAATGGAAACAACGAGGCTTTACTCGACATTTCTCCTGGTAAAATATTAACAAGTTAAATTTATGTCGCTGATAAGAGAAACGGGACTCGTTTTAATTTGAATAACTTTAATTTTACCGTAAGGAAAAGATTTTCCCTTGTCATGAGCTAGACTTCTTTGATGCAAACAAGGCGAACGAGCGATTGAATTTCGGAGAATTTTAAGTAAACTGTAAGACTTACTTGGGTCAATGCACGCTTTCCCGCAATGTTCATGGCATGAACAAATCTCTGGCCCCCTGCACCATTTGTCGTTCTCACATAGCCGTACACCTTTACAGAACCTTTTAAATAACGAGGGTGCAAGGCGCACCGTACAGGTTTTCTGACCCTCCCTGGACCTGAGACGGCGCCCGACCACTGCAAGAAAATCAGAATAAACAAGATGACTGCCTGCGACGTTTACAACTCTTGGTGTATAGTAAATACAAGCTATCAGGAAGCTTCACCAGAAATCCCCCGTCCAAAATTACCTGCCTTGCCATTAATGTAAACTGTCAAATAGAACACGATGTTCAGTATATTCCACATGCTATATGCCGATACCCCATCAAGGGGTAATTCCAACCGGACTGGGCCGCACGTACTACGAGTCGACCATGAAATCTGACCTGGCTACTCAACATTACTCACACTGACAAACTAGCGAACATTCAAAACCCCAGAATTCAAAACTTTGACTAGAATTGACTTATTGTGCGGTCACGTGACCGCCAGGGTCCAATGGTTGGCCGCCCACGCGCGATTAAGGGCAGGTGGCGAGCGATGGAAGGGTTTTATTTGCCGCAGTTTTCTCGCCCGAGCAGCAAGGAACTAAGTGCGAATCATAATTAACGAGAAAGTAATTAATCGTTATTTGATGGTTTTGTTTCGCGGAGACTTGTTGCGCGTGGCGAACACAATCGGCATTGTTAACCAGGTGGAACGGGCCACGTGTGTGATGTAGAGCCCGCGAGATCGCCCTGGCTCAATTGTACGCACACTATACCTTGTTTAATGGACGTTTGCAAACAACTCACTGCGATTACAAAAGAAGGTTGATCGCTAGCCGAGAAAATTGGCTTTAAATACCGCGATCAAAGGATCACTGTTGCCAAAGTATCTGTGAAGAGTCGGGCGCGCGAACAATTTTCTAATCTGTTTGTTTTTCGCTTTTTGGACACAAATAAGAAATGTTGTTAAACATTGGTTTTATTATATCCCTCCCCTACCTCTGACGGACACGTAATGTCGTCTCTCTTTGGCTAAGTGAAAACATCTTGGTGTACAAAAACAATGGGTACTTATATTGAAATATGTCAATTGCACGCCTTGAAATCTTGGACAGAACAAAAAAATGTACATTTCAAGAGAAACTGACCAAAGTATCTTATTCGTAAGAGAAATGAGTCCAAAAACTTATAATAGAACTGTGCCTAAAATAACATCTTTTAAAACCATAATAAATGGCAACTAATTAAAAAGTGTGGCACAAATCTAAGCTGTTTCCCTCCGATTTCATCGTTTTGGTAAATCGAATCGGGTGTTCGAAAACAATAACGCTTTCTCCGGTTCGTTGATAATTAGTCTGCCCAGCTGTTTCAACTGAATGAGAGATGAGTGATTCGCTTATAATTTTTGAAACAGGAAAGCTAACATGTTCAATTAGGGTACTAAAGCTTGAATAGAACTCTTTATTACAAAGATGATCCATTACAACTTTATCCACCTTTGTTTAAATTTCATTATATGAGGCTGGAATATCCACTTGAGTCTAGTTGAAAGGAAAAAATATGCACTGTAAATTTAAAATTTAAATTTTAGGAGCCGTTAAAAGATCTCGGCATAGCTCTGGCCCTAATTTTGTTAGCCGAAATATTGGCCTATAATAAGTCAGCCCTTTGCCGTAGTGCCAGCCTTGCTTTCAGTTTTGTTTTATTTTACACTCCAAGTGACGTCTGTCTACAGCATCTCTTTGATTAGAGATCCAGCAAGAGGAACCAGTCAGTTATATTTACGTGTTGCGTGGACCTCTGCATTCAAACGGTTTTTCCTATACACTATGCATGCAGCTAAGTTACACAAAAAGAGAAAAGCGTTGGTTTTAGGCCAAGTGGTTCCATAACACACTTCCTGCCATAGCCTTTATTTGAAACAATATTTTAAGCCCTTAAGATACTTTTTTTGTTCGCTTAAAAAGTTTTAGAACACAGAGGTTTGAAAAAATTCTTTTTAAATAATTACCAATAATTATAACATGAATGTATTTTCTAGTTCGGTTTACATCATTACACCACTGTCTAATCGTGAATGATCTTCCGGGTCTTAAAAGTCTTCTTGTTTCGGCAGAACTACGTTTACTGGTCACGCCCCGCATAGCACATGTGCGAAAAAAAAAAAAAAAATTGAGTTCGAGTTTTCGTTCTGTCAGGGCCGGATTTATCTCCCTTTCTTCGCCAACAATCAAGCATATTTGAAAAAGAGGGACAAAACTTGACGGAAAAATGTTGACCAAAGGATCACGTTAATAACAATAAACGCAAATTTGAGGAAGTGAAAAGCTTCAGCCCAATGAACAATTGCCGGATTCCAAAGTGGGTTACGAGAACAACAGTCAGAGCTGTCCACTAAATTGTTGCTATAAACATGCACTTATTTTTTAAAAGACCTTGCAATTATAGCAAAAGCCAGTTAGTAACGCATTGATTTAATGGCCTGATATTTACACAGGGACTCGTACGCTAAGGATTTAAAGCTAAAAGCGTGGCGATATTAAACATCTGGACATGGGAAAAAGTCAGGGGGAACCCAACGAGAATACAGTTCAAAACCACTTAAACATAGCATTGTTGAACGTATTTTAGTATTTAAACGGTAGATATGGGCATATTTTTATCCCCTAAAAATTTTTCATCTGTTCGGATTTCCCAGCTGAAAGTCTAGTGATCCGAAAATTATAGGGATCAAAACTTACCTTTTCGAAAATTTCAGCCAGAAAAATGGCTCTCGAAAATTCTACGTGACCTTTTCGAGGTAAAAATCAGTTAAAAATGGGCAATTATACTATTTTTTAGATGTTCGAAAATCCTAGGAGAGGCAGGCAAGCAAGAAATTTTACAAAAAAATGTTCCGAAAATTCTAGATCTCAAATCGTCTTCCGAACAGATATTTTCCGAAAATTGACGTTGGGTGCCCCTGAAAAGTGATTGACCAAGACTCGTCCAGGTTGTGACTAATAGAACAAGAATAAATTAAGCTATTCCAATGTTGCTGTTGTTGTTGTTCTTTTCACCGTCTTTTAAAGGTCTCATCACCTTTACTTTATGTTTGAACCGTAAATGACGTATCTAGTGCTTCTTTTCACGTCCCACAAAAATGACATCAAAGACGGCTGTGAGACTGGGCCTACAGTTTTAATTCCTATCTTAAAAGTGGAATGACAAGGGCAAGACTTTCTCCTCACTTATTTACCCCCACCCCCCCTCCCCGCCCGTGCTGGTTCGGCCAAAAATTGAACAGCCTACCCCTCCGTAGTCCTGCTAACCAAATGAGCTAGCCGGTTGGGGCATTTGTGCGCCGATTTTATTGGCCTTCTCTTTTAAGCAAGACACTTATTTCACATCTCTTCTCCTGTCCAGCTTATGTTTAATTGCCTTTGCTTCTTCATTACGTAAAATTCATTAATTAAGTTACGTCTTGTTCTGTTCTTCGACAAAATAATAACTGAACTTCTATTAAACTGACTTACAAGTGCAGCAGTTTTATGTGCTATACCAGAGTCTTTAAGGTCTTATAAGACTTACCAGCCTGTTCATATCTCTTGCAGGGATGATCAGAATCTGAAGACAGCTTTGAAGGGCGTCAGAGAAAACCTCGCAAACAAGGGCAAAGTTGTTACTGAAAATTAAATTTTTAAATTTTTTAAATTTTTATCTTCAAGTAATTTTAGGCGTTTTTATATGTGTAATAATATTTAACCCAGGGCCACACTAAAAACCACGTGTGAGACGTGGGCTCCCTGTTGAAATATTTTTCTTCTTACTATTTTCTTTTCAAACCTTTTTAAAGACTAAACAGCTGAAGATTGCAGTGTTGGTGAATTTTGGGAAAGACTCACATTTACAGTCTCAGAGACAACTGTCACAACCAAACTATACTATGCGTGCCCCTGAAAAAAATGAGACCCCTGAGTACCCTGAGTAAGCTTCGTATTGCTACGCTACCACATAGAGGAAATCTCATCCGGAACTAAAATGGGAAGGGGTAGTGTGGGGGCACTGCCATATTTAAGATCGATCAAGCATATATAGATTGTTCTCAAAACTACTGAAAAATTTGATTGACAAAAGCGGGGTCCAAAGTTGCTCAGGAGCTGGCCAAAAATGAAAAACGTTACCGATCAACATAAGCCATTTATTTCTGCCTATTCTTATTTCCCCTCATTTCACCTAACTTTCCGAAAATAAATAAGACTTGAACTGTAAATAAAGTTGAAAATTGAAAGTTGAAGTTGAAGTTATTCATATTATTATATATTGTATAATAGCTTTAAGCAATATGCTATAACATTTCGCAAAAGTTGCTCTAAAACGAGCAAAATTTAAAAAAAAGTTGCTCAAAACTAGCCGAACACAAACGATAAAAGCCTAAGATGTATAGGAATAGAGAATGTTTTTCAGGGTGCTAAGTCGTCAAATAGGGAATCAAGTATTTTGATCCTTTGATAGGGCGCCTAAAAGCATGGACCTAAACCACTTTAGGGAATCTAAAATACCTAATTTAGGCACCAACAAGACGATTCAACTAAGTTCACCCTACAATTCAACGCTTCATGAATGACAAAGTAAAGAAAAGAAATAAAAAACGACCTTTTTAACAGTTTCGATTAAAATTATTTGCCTTAAATAAGGTCAGGGTTTAAGACACGTTTAACGTTAGCGGTAAACCTTCACGTCAGGATTTAAGAAAGGCTTCGTGGCGCAAGCCTTTCCTGAATAGGCCTCTTTAGCTTGTATTTGTTTTTCCAATACAAATCGTGTGATAATATCCTAGCCTGCGAGCAAGCTCTCCGGGGCGCTCTGGTGGCGGGACGGGAAAAGGAAGCGCGCGCATAAGAGCCCATAACCTGGAGCGAGCACCGATTTGTCGCCCCATAAAAGAGAATCCGGATTCTGGAATCCGGGAAATTTTTCTCGTGGAATCCGGAATCCTCTAAAGTTTTGCTTGTGCAATCCGGAATCCTAGGCTTTGGAATACGGAATACAGCTCTTGGAATCCGGAATCCCACTTACGATGGAATCTGCTGACAAGATCTGGGATGCAGTGCATGGAATCCGGAATCCATGCTGTGGAATCCAGAATCTAAGACTTTCCTGGACCCCTTCAAATGGGGAGTAGCGCGTGTCTCCCTCTCGCGCGCCCGATCTTTCTTGTGCCCAGTACTTCCAAACGCCTGCTATGCTGGGTACATGGGGAGAGACTTGTGCAGTTAATGTTTAGAACAATTTTGGCGATTTGGGATATCTTTCATTGAAGTCCGCACAAACCAGTCAGTAAAACGTTCAGACCTGGAAATGACCTTTTGTTGTTACTTTCGTAAACTTAGAATTCGCTCATAGACAGAGAGGGGGGCTTCCATTTTCGAGAGGAAAATGCGCTTAATTGTTTCTAAAAATAAACCACTCCGTGAAAATTCCGTGACATGAGCCTGATCTACAATTTTCGAGAAATTCCCGGTCTACGTTAAACGGCGAACAAAGAGAAACACCTGCGCATATTTTATTTTACTGTGCATTAATTTCACGAGTGATTAGAGCGTGTTCAATAACCTTGTCACGGTTCTGGAAGCCATCTTAGCGAGCAGGTAAACCTTGTGAGAAATTACAGTGTTTGTATGAAAATCTAATGTTGAATCATTTCCGTAAAACGGCTGTTCTGAAGCAAATATGAATTGTAAGCTAAAGTTCCACTCACATGCCGCTACATGCGCTAGTGCTTTTTAAAATTTTCTATACATTTTTCTGTGAAAATTGCAGACACTATGTGGAAAATCTAAAGCAAGCGTCTGGAGAAAAAAAAAATTGTTAGTAGAATCCTTGGCTGTTCTTAAGTTTGCAAGTCATCTTTCTTTCAGAACAGCCGTTTAACGGAAATTATTCGACATAAGATGCTCATACAAACACTGTATAAGTAATTTCTACTCGTCAAGAAGACTTCCAAAACCGTAACAAGGTCTATCCTAGACGAGGAAGGTAACCTATCATTTTTTTTTCTCTATAGCAAAAACAACCAATCAGTAAAGTTTGACAAAAATATTACAACAGAGGAATGACCTTGGGTTTGGCGCACAATATTCTCTGTCAATGTTGCATTTTCATCAGTTTCTTACTTTAATGGGTGGATTCCCCGGGGAAGGAGTATTTCCCCCAAACAACTTCCGTCTTGTCATGGATGTCTCTTCTCAGTTTCCAACACGAAGAGACACGAAAATAGGCTATTCTCATTAGATACGTTTCCCTACAACGGGGTATAAACTTTCCATCGTATGAAAGCTGTAGAACGAGATGCTCTTACCCGTCCACCCACTCATACCTACCCGAGGACCACCCCCGGATTCTCGTTTTTGTATCTATGTCATGATCTGCCTGTAAATTTATTTTTCATAATGGAAAGGGACCAATAAAGAAAAGGTCTTGTTACTACTACTTTTTCTCAGAGAATTGAGTTATAATTCTTCCTATAACTTGAATAGAGCCTTGCCGTGACTTAAGCAATAGTTGTTACAGCTGAGGTTCAACACTTCAAGCTTTAATAATAATGACTGTATTCAATCGCAAATACAGTTTTTTTTAACAAAGACAAATGAACTATATAATAAAACAGCAAATACAAAAGCCACTTGAGTTTTCAAGTTATATATATTACAGTTCAATACCACAAAGTCGCTTATGTTATGAACTAGTAGGTAATTTTTCAAACAACCCTATTATGCAATCAATCTGCTTTGGAGAAGTTCCACAGTATATTTTGCAACGGATATCGATGTTAATAAATAATTTACCTGGACAAAATCAGTCTCCCACGTAGCCATGAGTTTTAGTGAAAACTGACCAGTATTATAATTATTTGAATAAAATGATTGTAACATGGAAAACATGCCTCAAGACGGGTATCACTCATATAAACTACCAATAAAAAAAGAGAAAAAAATACGAGAGAGTGAAAATAAGAGAAAAAGAATGATGTTATAAGTTGCGGTATAAACATCGGTTTGTTATCTATATACGATAGTCTAGATCTCCGATCAGAACAAAAATAAACACATGTGAGTAATTCAATAGGTGTTTGAATATGACGAACGTGGTTTTCGCCATCGATTACATCCAGAAAAAAAGAGAAAACAATTCAGTATATCTTGCATAAGTTTAAAAGATCTCGATAGTGTATTTTATTACGAGTTATCTACCTGCATTCTTGCTTAATGCTTGAACTTTTCATTGAAGTGAATGAGCTCGTTAGAAGAAAACAAGACAGATAAAGTGAGAAAACGGCTTAGCTTTTTAAGGTAATGTTATAATTGTGGTAAGGGAATTTTGTTGTGCAATATCACGGCTTTGCCAACAGGTGCGAGTTTTGGAAAATGTGCGACGATGTCTCGTCTGACTATGAAAAAGAGGGAGCTGGAAAGACCACACCGACGAGTGTTGGGTCAGAAAAGAGCGATGCAGTTTTTGGAACGCACGAAGAACGGTCAAAACAAACAAAAATTACAAGATCTAGCGGCAGCAACAACTTCAAAACATTTGAAGGAATCACCAAAACTCGCCACCAAAAGTCGCTGGAGTTTCAAAAAAATGAGGGCTTTAACGGCATTAACAAGAATACAGGAAACGACTATATTGAATTGCCTCTTATTCAGCCTGTTACTGAAAGTCTTAATGACAACAGCAAGTACGAGAATGTAATAAAACGTTTTAAAGACGTAGACGGGGGTGATGTTTTTGAAAACTCGTTGACATTGTCGTTTCAAGCTGAGGATAAAACCGGGGTTTCTCTGCCCAGCGACGTAACAAACACTGCTGGAAGCAAACGATATTCTGATAAACGCGGACGATTTAAAATTCAGCGAAAAAATGAGAGGAAATCTTCGCTTATAAGCGTCACCCTTCTGCCTCCGTTGAAGGAAGAGAAATCTTCTACGACAGAGAACTCTGCTAAGAACCCCTCGGTCTCACCAAATATTAGAAGGCATACCATCGGGTATCATGGAGAAAGCAAAGAAATTTTACTACCCTCTATAGTTGTAACAAAAGCCGAAGAGGTTGTTTCTTGGGAAGAACAAACTTTAAAGTTGCCGAAACTAGAGGCTAGCAACTCAAAATCCAGATATCAGAGGCGGCTGTCTTTGCCGGATCCAAGCAGATTAGCACCCCCTATTTTTCAGGATTCTCCTAAAAATATACACAGACCCCCGTTGCTACAGAGTAAGGAGGATGGAAGTGATTACGCAACCAGTGTTATGCGTTTGCCACGGTTAAGACCCGGCAGTTCAATGATAAATGGAACCCATACAAATGGGAACCAAAAGTGAATGTTGAAAGAAACAAACGTCGTGTCGCGTTTATAAACATTTCTAAGCGAAGTGAAAGAACAAACAATTAGAATTCTCTAGTTCCTTTTATTTGCGCACTTCTCCTGCGGTTGGCGTGAGCTACATATACTTTCTCCGAGTTCTGACTCAGATTGGTTGAAAAGATTGTGTTTGTGTTTGTTTTTGACGTCAAACACACGAGTTAACGTCTTCTTGTCGAAAGAACTGTAGTGGAAAGGAGTTTAGCGAGTACAAAAAGTGATGGAGACCACGTTACATTTCGGGAACGTGACCAAATATTATGAACGCATTAATAATAAAACAAAAACAAAATTCGTGCACCTACAGCTCGTGAAATTGTCAAAGTGCTGAGGAGTTGAGGCGCTTCGCGAGTGGAACTCATAAAGTAGTATTATGCACAACAATCAAAAATCTTTTGGAACCACATTCGCTAGTGCGTCGTAATGACTCAAGAAAGAGTGGCGGTGATGTTGTGAAATTTTCCTAGCGCATTTAAAATGTCTTTTTACAGTCATGAGCTCACTGTAACTGAGACTCTTCTTATCCCAATGGGTAGTTTTTGTTCCAAATCGCAGTATCTTCGGAGTAAGGGTTGCTCAAGACTGAATAGCCTACTTATTAAATTTCCAACCGCTTAAGAAACACAGTAACTTAAAAGGTAATCCGAAAGCTTGGCCTTCGGAATCCGCAATTCATTGCAAGGAATCCTGCTAACAGTTAGAATCCGGAATCCATTGCTTAGAGCCCGGAATTCACAGGCCCACAGCGTGGAATGCAGAATCCACGACTGTTTTGGATTTATGGTCTATAGCCAAAAAAAATCGCTTCTATTGCCGTCCCCCGCCCTCAGTTTACAACGATCTGTGGTCCTGTACTGAGACTATTGACATGAAATGGTGACGAAATGCTTAATGGCAACACGAAATAACTCATATCAAGAGAGGGTATTCAGATACAAAATCAGACTCTAAAACAAAACTCAGGCTTTTACCAGGAAAGCACTATTAATGAGATTACGCTGGAATTTTTATCTGCTTAGATAGCCAGGTACAAAATCTAGAAAGGTAGAAATATTTTAAATTATTTACTTTGGAGAGTAGCCAAAAGTTGCTGATGTCTTCGAGAACAGCGGTAATTTAGTGTATATGTTAAAAGAAACATGTTATACAATCATATAACCATAACAATTAACTTAGTTTTGCTAAAATGATTTACAGGCTTGAAATCTTAGAAAATATTTTAAAAGGAGAGAAGAAAACAAACAAACAGACAAACGAACGAACGTCTTTGAAAATTAAGTCATAACTAAGGTTGAAAGAACTGTACTAAAGAAAGAAATTTAAAAGAAACATTCCAATTACATAATGCATACATAATCTATGGCCAAACATATATATCACTGTCAGAGGCATACAACCCTGTTCACTGGTTAGATGCTTCTGATATTACATATTTCCATTGCTTTTTGCTATTTTTGTTAAAACTATTTTTAACGCTTAATATACTTGTAAACTGAGAAGCTCCAAACATTCTTGTACTGTAAAATGGGTATAGACTTAACACCATTGAATTGATTGAATAAAATAAAATTTAGTTAATCATTTTTACCACACAACGTACCAAATAAAATCAAAGAAAAAAAAAAAAGACTCTTTAAGTTACTTACAAAATGTTTGTGAATCGACCCAGAGCAAAATGAAAACGATGGGAATAGTAATAACCGTCCATGTCGAAGATATAAAAGCTTAAATTTAAATGCAAGAAAGTTTTCTTCTCATTACATGAGAAGAATGTGTGATTCCCAAAAAATATTTTTTTCCCTCAATACAAGCGTCGTTACATTCTCTATGTGGAGGCTAAAGACTGATCGTTCGGGTTGTTGACAACGGTGCCACGCAAAGTGACGATTTTGCCGTAAACTGAGAGCGACCGTGATTACCTTTAATAACATGGCCACCATTGTTTGGAAGCCTCTTGCTTAGAAATCTTTCTAGAAAAATCTATTACGAGGTCAAAGAGAATAAAAAAATCGTAGATAAACTGCAAAAAAGGGGACGACGAGCTTTTACGGTTTTTTTCTCGCAAAAAGGAAAAACAAAACAAGCTTTTTGTGACCCTTTTTTGCTCTACGAATGACAAATTAAGCTAAAATGTACAGCACATTTAATCCAACGATAAGAAGTGAATTCAACTTTATCGTCAAGCTTTATAATTAAAAAAAAGGAAATCTTTACTGAAAAAACGAGCTCGTTCGTTTTTTCGTTAATGAAACGTTTAACATAGCACTAAGAAGCCCTCAGGTCTTTTCTGTTTATAACCTCATTGACCATGACGTTGTAAATCGCGGTAAACAAACTTTCGAGCATTTAGAACAAACTTCAACTCGCGCAAAACCCGTGGCCATGTTGATTTCATCAATTTTAATACTGACGAACTGCATCAGTGAAATGATCATTTCGATAAGAGGTTAAGTTGTCTAAGTTTTATGCAATAATAAAGCTTACCTTTTCTTTACCTGTGTGGCTTCTCGTTCAACGTAGCTGTCTGGTAAACCCATTTTTGTTCCTCGATAAGTTCAACGTCCAGAAAAATATAGAACTATGAATGGACGCTACAAGCAAAGGCAAAGATGACGCGAATTATGTGACACGTGACTCCAGTATGTTGCATGTGACACAGGTCAATTGAGTAAAACTTTCATTTTTTTTTCGTGTATTAAATTTACGAGTGTAGTCTTGTTTTCCTGGATTTATAGAGTGAAAAATAGCTTATTCACACTTGTCCCATGATCACCGATTTTTTTTTTAAATTTCCAAATGCAGTCGAAAATCTCCCAAGGGCGGGACAGGTACACGTATGTGCGGCTTGGAACTAGGGGGTGGGGGTGGGGGGGACTAGTAAGCGTCAAAGAAGAAAAGCATAACCACTCTAACTACTTGACATTCTCTATGGACATTTTCCGAAGTGTACGAGTATTTTCGAAGTCAAAGCGACAATCGCTATTAATAAAGCGACGATCTTAAAGAGCAAGGCGACGATCGCATTGCCATTTGACAGCCGTGCGACGAAAACCAAAGCAGCAATCAGAATCTGTCAATCACTCATGGGGACATTCAGTATCAGAGCCCCCCCTCCCCCCGTTTTGGTGCCAAAAGCCATTTTTACGGATGTACAGTGACATTACCTGTGACATCGTCCACTTCAGATCAGACGACTTATAAAGAACTACCTAACAAGCACCATGAAGTTAGTAGGACCTTCTAAATAACTGCCTGCTGATGCATTATCACAAATCGATTACGGACACACTAGACACTGTGAAGATTGCAAAGAGGTTTGCTTGTGCCAACGAAAAACGCGAAGGGCATGTTGGAAAATCTGAATAGGGGTATGCATGTATGGCTGAGGGGAAGATGAGCCCAGCCCTACGTTTCAAAACGCCCCGCCGCTTCTGGGTATGGAGAGAAATTTCACATCAACAGGAAAAACTGTTACCTTTGATTGAATTTTCGCCCGCGGTTCCCTTAGGTGGCATCCGTCCAAGAGTGTTCGTCTCATTTATACGCAGATATTTAGCAAATCGATTCAGTAAAGACAACGCAATGTCAAGTAATTGCGCAAAGGCGCACTGAAACGCCTGAACGCGACTTCGGTGCTCAGGCACGGCCAGGCCGCCTGCACCGCCGTCCGTCTTCTCTCATGATTGAGGCTAGTAAAACATCAGGTCCAGGTTGTTCAAACGGTGTATGGCGCTATCCACCGGTAGATCACTATCCAGCGAAATCAATTTTGTGGATAGAGATTTATCCAGTGCCATGGATAGCGTTCTCCACCTTTTGAACAAGTGGGCACTGATAAAATGTGACTGGTGCCGTATTGTTCGAACGACTGAAGGAAAATTTAAAGAAAGTCTTGTAATGACCGGTATTCAGAACCAAAGCCTATCGAGCGAAGTTGAGATGTAAACAAAGTTTTCTCCATCTGAACTACCGCATTTGCTTGAAAGAGCTCTGCCCTGGTGGACCACACCTGAGAACATCCGCACCCATTCGCACCTTAGTCATTTCAAAGTTTGATATTAAGCAATGATTGCATTGGGCTGAGTCTGCTCGGCTAAAAAAAAAAACACTGTCCTGTTAAGTTGTAAATCAGTTATCTTCTCGTTCATTCTGTAATTAGCTGAACTCCTTTAGCTTCGAGAACTTCAAAAGGTCCCACCAAAGACAAAAAACATTATAACGGATTTTCCTTTTACTTGCAGTACCGTATTACAGTTTGCATTGCTTTGCGATGAAAAAAAAAAAGAAAAAAAAGAAAAGAAAAGAACTTTAACGCAAAGAAGCGAGTAATGTTTTTTTTTTTTTATTATCATTTTGTAGTTTTATTCCATTTCGCAGAGTGTATATGTTGTGGTTCAGTTTTATTCTTGGTTAAAATTTTATTTTCCTTTGTTTCAAACTCATTATCATATACAGGACCAAAGACAAAATTCAACCACAACATATACTGTTACGCTTTCAGGCCACTAAACTGTGAACGTTGGCTTGTAATCAACGTTGATTGTACAATGAGAAAATGATTCCACTTTCCTACTACATTGTTCCAGCTGTTACTACTTTCCACCAGTAAAACAGATGTGTATTCATTGCGAATAGGTTCAGCTTTATTTTCTTATAATTACTGGTGTGACGCTACCTCGACTCTCTATAAGCCGGACACCTCTCTGAAACGGACAGACGAGGCCGGTCCCAAAGGTTTCCGTGTTACAGAGAATTAACCTTACCCCGAGTGCCATAGGTTTTTTCTCACGTGCGGCGAGGAGCTTAGTAGGCCGCAGCCCGCCACGTTTTCGGCCGAAAAGGCTTGACCGAAATAACCGAGCATGAAAAGCCTCTGGTAACCTAAATAAGAAATTAAAAGAAATTTCATACCTCAAAGCTACCAAAACAATAAAGAAAATCGATGGGTGGTCTTTTGAAGATATTTATTAGTGTACATCATGGTGTCTCCTACGTCAATGAAGTTAGACAAGAAAATACTCAGAAAATATAGTACTTCTAAGATAAACTATTCATTCATTAGTTGAAAAAATAAAATAAACGGGACTTAAATCGAGAATTTTCTTCTTTCAAACTATTTATTCTTCAAATTTCCTTAGTTCTTCGTATTCATGCTGTTTCCATGGCTACCGATTAAAGTTACCTTTTATATTTTCGGATTCAAATTGCGTTTTAACAGTAAAATTTTAAAGGCGCCTATGGCTTCATAAAAATAAAATTAAAAATTAAACAAGTAAGGATCAACTTGGAATTTCGCAGTTATAACTTTTCACTGACACTAGACAGAGATAAACTGAATATTTTACGAGCAAAGGAGAATCCGTTTGTATACATCGCGCTTAAAGAAACGTTTCCTGCAAGATGGCGCGGTTCTCATTTTTTAGTACAAGTTTTACGCTTAATCAAGTTTAAAATTTTTATGAAAGAAAAGAGTAATAAGTTTTTTTTTGTTGAATGTGAATAAGCTCTTATTCACCAGCGGGATATATTTGTTTTGACGCAAAAACAAAGTCCAATACTTTCACCAATTTTAATATTTACGTTGACAAGTACTCAAACGACCTGTCATTTTTTGTTTCATGGAATAGAAAATTGACAAGTGCGTTTCGAATAGTTAGAGCACTATTAATATTTACTCTACATGTATTCTGACTGACAGATAACTTTAATATCTCTGGAGCGAGTAGCGAAGGGAAGTTATCAAATTTACTAGCGTCATGACGACAGAAATTTCAATTGAACGCGAGGCCAATCTACGGGCTCGAAAGAAAAAGATTCTGCGATTACAAAGGCTGAAATACCTCACCGGGAAACTTGAAATTTCAGACGCACTAACAGCAAATGACGCAGAAAATAAGGATGCCTCATTTGCTCAAGGAAAGGAAGAAAAGTCGAGCGATCAACTTTGCACCAAGGAGCCGCCAGTAGTCGCTTATGAGGAAGTGAATGAGAAGCTCACAAACGGATCTGTTCCCGGTGGTAACTCTGATCGAAGTGGAAACGAGCCATTTGCGCCAAAACATAAGAGTCCTGTTTTACCGAGGAGAAAGCGACATGACGCTGAAGTGACAGTCGAGCAATGTCAAAAGCTAACTAACATAGACAGTTCGAAATCTTCCATTGTTGTTGACAATACTACTGAACTCGATCGATACACACCTTCGGTTGCGTCTCTTTCTTCGGAATATCATCGGAAAACGATTGAAATCAAGAAGAAAGCTGACGAACGGAGACGAAATGTTGGATCACCAAGATATACACATCCCACCCTACTGAATTTATCATCAAACAGCCATTCTTTGGCGGTTAATAACCTTCAACTGCTTCGAAGTTCAAGCCTTACTGAGTTGCGCCATCAGGATAATCAAGAAGAAATTCAACATGCCCAACACGCTACAATCATTCACGGAATTAGATGCAAAAGTGAAGACGTAGGAGTGGGAACCCCGAACGGGATTGCGGAGCATGAAACCGCTCCTTTCCCGCTACGTGCAGCCAGCATGTCTTCCATAACCGATGTATGTCTCACAACAGAAAAAGAAGATATGAATTTTGGAGTTTTCGCGCGGAAACAACAAGAAAGACTAGAAGATAATTTACGGCGTGTGGAGCAAAACCTAGACAGTACTTTCAGCAAATTACGACGTTATATAAACGCAACGAACGAAATATTAGAAGCTGTCAAATTAAAAGAAGACACGTGATCTCCACAATACTTCTTTGTGATAAGTTTAGAGGAGCGCAAGACGCCAGAATATTGTTGTCTACAAAGGTATCCATTCGAAAAAAAAAACCACTTAAATTTATGGAAATTTTGAGACCACGAGATATCAAAATAAACTAGTTTTCCTCATCCATTATTTAAAGCGAAGTAGCAATTTTTGGATATACAGAACATCCTGTCGACACTATCTGCTGATAGTAACTAATCTTTTATCACTATTCAAAACAAAATAACTTCTTTTTTTAGTATGATTTCCGAAATATTGTTACAGATTTAAATTCACACGTCTTGGCTTTTTACCTAATTTAATTCCACAAACTAAAAGAAAATATCCACTCTAGAAAGTCTTTTTAAGCTAAAATGACCTCAGCAAAGATTTTTTTATGAGAGTTTATAGCCCATCACAAACTTTTCTTGATATTCCACATATATTTCAACGCAAACGACCTCCGAAAATTTTCCGAAAATTTTCCTACTCGGTTATTTAAAGGTCACGACTGTCTCCCGAAAAAGGTAACTCAGTACAATTAGATCTTAGACGTGATACTGTAAAAATAAACTTTATACATATACAATGTACCTCTCCTATCAAATACTATAGGTGGTGAAAACGAAGTGAGATTTATCGCAGATCGTTTTTCGAAACATCGTTTTTCCTGGTGAATGGGAGAGGGACCTTAAAAATGACTGTGCGTAGCAGGACAGCCGCTCCAAAACCGCAGGCGAAAGTTGTAGGACAATACAAAAGTATATCACGCTAACAATTTACTGACGGGTTTCTGCTGTGCAACTTGAAATACCAAAGGATGTGAGGAATTCTTAACAAAATTCTCCAAACTGCACTTGGTCTAAAATGTGACACAAGTTCCGTTGACTAGCTGACTATGCATGAAGCGAAGACGGGCACAGGCCTGAAAGACGGAAACCAAAACAGCAAATGTTCGCCTCAGTTGGCCGGAATGTGTAAATGAGGACTCATTTTATTAGCGATCGAACAACGGGGCGAATAGCATGCGGTTTCTCTGTAAAACGTCACTTCTATGCTGGGCTGTGATTGGTGGACTTATAAGCGAGCGTAAACGCAGACTAAAAGTCAGAGAATCTTCAATGGCAGAAAGGCGCTTCATCGTTTTTTAAGAGAAAGACGAATTTAAAAAGTTTACCAGCAATGTCACCACAAAAACAACAATCAAGTTGCACAATAGGGCGCTTTCTAAAACGCAAAATACGTGCTGCCAACTTGAAGTCATGCGTTTTTTGGCGTTAATACACTTTACTTTTTAAACTTACGTTCTGTAGCAATTTTAAAAATAGCCTTATTTTAAGAGTTGGCTGCACCCTCCTGTGGCAAGCTCGTTTATTAACGCACGCCACTTTATGAAGCGTAGGCACGCTTCTCTCTATTGCACTAAAGCGTGCACGAATAGGAAAATGTCGATGAAAAAGGTAGACATTTTTCAGTGACATCCAGCGCGAGGGTCGTGTAAGCAATTTCCCTATTCTTGTTAAAAATCTTCAATTAGGCACGTAAAGGAAAACAAGAAGGCACGCAGATGAATTATGTGCGCTGCTATTGGTTAAGTTACCTTGTTTTGGCAATTATATGAAAGGGCTACCCGCAGGATACCAAATGATCGCTAATCCATTTGCACATTAGAATTAGCGAGCACCGCTTGCAACTTGTTACCTTTACACTTCGTCTTTATTTATTCATGAGAGAAAGTCGCTAGTCGTAATAGAAACCGATCTATTTATATGATAAGTTAAAGTGCAGTGTGACATTTTCAACAATCACCTGGGTTACTTGTTCATGCGAATGGAAGTACGTGGATTATTTACTTCTTGCTATGACTCGCTCACAACAACTTTTTAAGCCGTCGCGTGGAAACCAAGGCAAAGGGTATAATTTAATTTTTTTCTTGAAGTAAGCGATGGCTCTGATACAAGAGAGGGAACGCTCTGCGTTATCGTTCATTTCACAAAATGAAGAAGATAATAACTCAACTTATTCAACGAGCGTCAAAACTTCCCAAAGAACTCGGCAAGCACACAACTCTTCGTATCTTCCTCAATTGAAACACAGGTATGTTCCTTCGCTGTATTTCAACCAGGATAAACAACTCACCCGAAAAATCAGAGAATTTCTCAAAAAGCCGCCTCTTAACTCCCAAGAATATTTCGATATGTTATGGTTAAGAAGGCAAAGCGAGCCATCTGGTAACAAAGATGACGACGATTTACGCCGCATTAAAAGCGCGCCATCGTCACCCGATGAACTTTCAAAGAAGCTTTGGCATTTGCTTCCTGAAAAGCGCACAATACAATCGATGATTCTACCTCCGATTAGAGATGGTTGTCTTGGTAACTATCACAGCAAACACACTTCAAAGGCGACGGCTCCACTTGTCGACTCGTCGGTTGATGTTATGGATCAACTTAAATATTGCCGATATCTCCGGCCAAGGCCGACCAAGGCATGGGCAGTTACGGCTCAAGGCATATAGCAGAGTCATAGTACTGAACGTTACAATTATTTGTAACAGCCAACTTTTATTAGAGCCATGAATTGGTTCGCCGGGCAAGTCAGTGACAAACTTGCACTTGATAAGAGGGCAGTACACATGCAGGATGTCCATTCAATCCCTTTGGTTGAATATCTACTTGTGATATTAATATTTGTGTATTGGTATGTCTGTGCATTCGGCAAATCTGCTTGGTATATTTGTCCTCAGTGGAATATCTATCTGCCGAAATTAATCAGAACAAAACCAGGGCTGTTGGATATTGTATGCAGAATATTAATGCTTAAATTAGCAAGTGCCCTTGTAAAATGTGGCCTAAATTCTGGCTACATTATTTAAGCAATAGACCACACTTTCTATGGATTTACCCGCGTGATAACCCACGTGGGATGTTGGGAGAATACTCGAAAAGCTTGTAAATCACGAGCCAAAGGCGAGTGATTTACAAGCTTTTCTTGTGTTCTCCCAACATCCCAAGTGGATTATCACGCCGGTAAACCCATAGAAAGTGTGGTCTATTGCTTTTATAAAATAACTTTAAGTTTTCTATGAGTTTACCGGCACAATAAACCATAGGTTCTTAACAAATCAGAACGCGCGTACTATCTTAGTTATTTTATAAAAAGTTATATTCCCTCGCTTTAATTTTCAAAAGGAAAAAGTCCTTCTCCTAAATTCGGTGGCATTTTAATCATCAGTTCAAGCAGTTTCAGCGAGTTCTCCTACGTGTTACTCGTTGAGTGTCCCGGAGAAATCAAAAGCTTTTCGTGTTTTGAATGGACACAAAGAGGCTCGAACGTCAAAATGTTGATTATGAAGAAAAATTAGAAAAAAGAAGATGGACAACTATTTTTTGCTTACGTCAGTGGTCGCACCTGGTGCCATAATTTTCTTGGAGTGAAATTTTCCTGTCGTCTTTCCGTAGTTTTAGCGTTGGGAAGATAAGGGTGAATTGACTTTCTCTAACAGAAATCATCTAACGATCTTTTTCGTACCCTTCCCCAAGGTTCGAGAGTCACTTGAAAGATTTGTGACTTTCTCCAGGTTGTTGTCATGACAACATTTAAAAAGCACAAAGGTGTCCTCGGAATGTTTCAATGTTTCATATGTCTCTGAATACTCAATTCAAAGAACGAAGGTTCCCTTTAACTAGGTCTGTATTTGACCAATGGTAGAACGGCTGTTTTTGCTAAATGTGCCGCACAAATGTCTGACGTAACAACTAACATCAAGCCAGGTAAATTCTTTCTTAAAACGCCGGAACTTAGGATTTCCCACTGACGTAAGGCTTTACAAAGGTGGCCCTAGGAGTCTCCACAGACGAAGCAAAAAGTCATATCAAAAAAAAAAAAAACGTAACAAAACATGCATGGCGCGCGCGAATGAAGATATAATGATTTATGTGATTTTAGCAACACTTGGACGTTTCAAACGCAAGCTTTATTTAGAAATGCCTATTTTTGTACGTAGGAAACAGCTTACAGCTGTTAAAGGCCGTGAATGTGTATGATGGAAAAAGATATGATGAGGGCCCGTTTTTAAGTTCTTTCGTTGTTTTACCAGCTTTGTACTCAAGCAAATTTAGACCGCACACCAACACAGTCTGATAAATACTTATATGGATAAAAATATTGGTTTCCATCCTGAACACCCTAAGTACCCTAGACTCCCATCGAAGTCCAGGAGGAAACACACCTGTCAGAGTCTCGTTTTAAATGAAATCTCTCAGGTTTGCTTTTATTAAAATAAATCCAGAAAAAGAAGCAATTTTGTCGGTAAGGTTTCATGTCAGTGTTCTGTTTTACAAAAAAGCAAATCTCATCCTATGATTGCACTTGGTAACTACTAAAACCTGGGAAGAAGAACCTCCAGTTTCTCTCCAGGACTGTTCTTCTTTCATGGATACTGCAACACTTTTCTCTTAGTGTCTGACGTTTTGTCCCATTTCCTGAAGAAATAAAAAGAACAGAGGTTTAGGGATGTCGGCATCAGAGGTAGCTTTTTCCGCACCACATTGTTAAGGACTCCTAAAATGCTTCCATTATCTTATTTACTCTCCAACATGGTCAGAATCGGGAACGGTGGGGTAAAATAAAAAAAGAAAGTAGGGGGGGGGTAGCACGTGCTGTGACGTGTGGTCTGTTGTATCAGTTATTTGTTGTCCAAACTTGCTTTTTTTTTTAGTGTTCGTGTAAGGGGGGGGGGGGGGGGGGGGGGGGGGGGGGGGGGGGGGGGGGGGGGGGGGGGGAGCGGTAACTGAAAATGACAACATTTTAGGTTTCTGATTAATACGGGTCAGTCACTAGAAAAAGGGACGTGAAAGTGAACTTCATCAGCACAAACTGGACGTACGAGGCCCTCTTGGGGAGGGGGGAGGTGTGTATTGCAGGATGGTAAAGGGGGGGGG